GCCTCCTCCTCCCCACTGCAGGTCCCCCTTTGGGGCTGCAGCCAGCAGGGATTTGTCCCCAGGCTCCCCCACATTGAGGTTTTCCCCCTTTTTTTTCCTAAAATAATCCAAATTTCTCCCCCAGCTGGGGCAGAAGCAGCAGCCCTGAGGTTGCTGCTGTTATTTTTATCTCAAAAGAAAGAGTTTGAGCCGTGGCCAAGCTGTGCTGAGGGAGGAGGGAGAGGCTTTTGTGTGGCCACAGAGATGAAAACACAGCCAGCCTCGTGGGCAGGGCAGAGGGAACGTCCCAGCCCATCCCAGCCCATCCCAGTCCAGCCTGGAGGGAGCTGGGATGGGCTGGGGGATGCTGAGGTGGAAAAGGAGGTTTGGGTCCCCTCCACATCGGTGCTGTCCCCTCAGAAGAGCTACACTCATGTTCAATGCTCAACCAGCCCAGAATTAACTTTTTTTGAGTCAATTTTAATAAAAATCCTTGAAAGAACAGGCTCTAAAAGTGCTTTCACCTTCCCACAGCCACATCCCACTCCTTCCTGACCACAGAAGGCCCCAAAACAGAGTTTGGGGGGCAGGTGCTGCACCCCAGGAGCCTCCTCTGCCTGGATCCAGCCACATCCCTCCCTCCCAGATGGAATTCCCGTCCTGGAGCTGCTCCGGAGCTCACCGAGAGCTCTGCACGAGGAGCTCGGCTTAAATGTCAAATTAATTAATGGGGAGAGAGGGAGGAGTGGCCACACAAAGCTCCCGGCTCCAGCTCCGCTCCCCCCGGAGCCGGGCCAGGGAGGGAGGGGAGGGACCGCGGGAACCTGGAGGGAACAGGGAACGGCACAAAACACGGGAGAAAACTGGGAATGGCTCAAAATACGTGTGGGAAACTGGGAATGGCTCAAAACAAGGGGGAAAGCTGGAAATGGCACAAAACTCATGTGGAAAGCTGGGATTGGCACAAACCATGAGTGGAAAACTGGGAATCGCACAAAATTGGGGTGGGAAAGCTGGGAATGGCACAAACCATGGGTGGGAAAGTGGGAATTGGTACAAAACAAGGGGGAGAAGCCGGGAATGGCACAGAGCACGGGGAAGGCTCCGCTCCTCCCTCCGCAGCCGGGCGGTGGCTCCGGAGCCCGGCAGGAACCAGCGGGGCCGAGGTGACACCGGGCAGGGCCACGGCCCCTTCCTGAGGAGAAACCCTTCTCCAGCAGCTCCCGAGCCCCGGGAGCCTCGGGCTGGCTGGGGAGGATGAGGAGGGAAGGGAGGATGCAGGGAGCACATCCCCGCGCTCCCAGGAGAGCCCAGCCGCATTTGCAGGGGGCTTCTCCCTCCAAATCCCTGCTCCCCATCTCCCGAACACCGAGAGCGCCGGGGCTGAGCCTCCAGGAGCAGAAGAGCGGCAAAACCCACCCAGAGCCGGGCGGGAGGCGAGGCTGGGACCGGCCCCAGCTCCGGGAGAGCCGGGAGGGACCGGGACACGGGGACAGGACCTACCGGAGCCGGGTTAAAGCCTCCGAGGGTTCGGGAAGGGAGGGGTGCCCGGTCCCCAGAGCCCCGTCGGGCCCGGCAGGGTTTGGTACCCGGCTCACGTTCCCGGGACCGGCATTCCCCAGCCCCCGCTGCCGTCTCCCGGGGCTGCCGCACATCTCCCGAGGGAAAGGAGCCCTGGGGACAGCCGGGGACTTCACTGCCACTGCTCCCAGGCAGGGATAGGTGACAGTGGCCAGAGGACCCTGCACCCCTGCATTCCTTTATTTCTTGATATATTTTTTTCCTCAGTTTCTCCATGAAAGAGGAAGGAGCTGGGGTTGAGCACGGCTGGACTGGGAGGACTGGGCTGTCTCTACAAACGGGGCTGGGCCGGACCCTGTGTGAATCCAGCTCACACCAGGGAGCTCCAACCCACCCCGGGGGCCGGGCTAAGCCCTGCAAACCCATGACAGCAAACCCCAGAGCACCCCCAAACCCCAGAGCACCCCCAAAGCTCAGCAGAGACCATCCCCCATGGCCGCGAGACCAGGCTGGAGACCAGGGAGCTGCCGACCCCAAAACACCAGAAAACGTCACAGGAATGAGGGTGTCCTGTGACCCCTAGCCCTGGTGGGACCCAGAGCTGTGGGGAGCTGAACTCCCCCAGATCCCTGGGGGCAGGAGGTGCTTCACCCCAAAACCCTGCAGGGCCTCTCTGAGGCCTGTGTCCCTCATTATCCCTCTGGACTGAGCCAAGGGAGCATCTGGGGGGTGGCAGGGAGCAAGGGAAGCCCTTCCACAGTGAAACAACCCCAGAGTAAATCCAGAGCTCCCCCAATCTCCTGCACCGGGAGCCAGGACCTGGTTGGCCCCAGCAATGTTCTAGGAACCTGGGAAAGGTTAGGGCAAATAAATGCTCTCGGTAATTAAGGTGATGAGTTGATCCCTAAACTGGGCTCCAACAGCAGCCAGGGCCACAACAAAGCAGCCTGACCCAACCTTGGAAGCCCCAGAGCCGAGGGGACACTCAGGGCTGGCTGCACCCACCCCCTGCACAGAGAGGAGCCTCTCCTGGGAATCTGGGGTGTCCCACAGGGGCTGAGCCCGTCTCTGCTCTGGGAAGGGCTGGTGCAGGAGCCTGGATGTCCCTCACCCTCTCTCTGCGTGGTCCATATCCATCTCCAAAGGGATGAGGCAGGACCAGGGAGGAGCCTTGGGAAATCACAGCCAAACCCAAACCTGTCCACGGCACTGTTGGGAAACCCCTCTGGCAGGGATGGAGCCCACCAGGAGGAGCAGCCCCTGTCCCCCAGCTCTCCCACGCTGCCACGTAAAGGGTTACAGGGACTGATCCCAAGGGGATCCATCCCAGCTTCCCCAAAGCCGAGAGGGGTCACGGACTGCAGGAGATCAAAGGGAGGCATCGAGTCCCGGGGAGGTGTCAGAGGCGTGCCCTGCCCCTGTCCCCTGCTCCCCTGGGACGGGCACGGGGACCCGGCCCCGAGCTCACGGGTGCGGTGCCTGCGGGGCTGGAGTCGCTCATCCCGGCTCCTCCGAGCAGCCGGGACCGCTCCGGGCGCTGCTGCAGGGAAAGGTTCCCTGGCAGGGCCGAGGGTCCGGCGCTGGGGGAACAGGGATCCCCAAATCCATCCCCATCCCACCGTCAGGGATGTGCCGGAGCTGTGCCAAGCCACCGCTTCCCTCCCGGTGGCCCAGGGGAGGAGCTGAGTCTGTCCAAGGAGAACGAAGGACTGAGGAGGGAAGAGAGGGGGAGAGGAGAGGCCTCGATCCCATCCAGGTGGAGGCAGCAGCTTCTCCAGCCCTTGGGAGCATCCCACATCCCATCACCTCCAGCCCGGCACTGAGCAGCCCCACAGCCTTCCCCAAACGGCCAAACCTCCCCGGGAAATGCCAACAGCCTTATCCAGTAACCTCCAACTCCCTAAAAGCAAAGGGGGAAGCTCATTTAGGGGGGATGAATACCCCAGAGCCACCCCCACACCCCCAGGGGTGCTGGGGACACCGGCACAGCCACACTCACCGCTCAGCACCGCGGCTACCGGGCACGGAAGGAGCGCCCGGCAAAGCAGAGCCTTCCCCGGATCCATGGCAGAGGGAACATGGGGCTGGATAACGTGCCCTTGGAGCCAGCAGCCAGGCAGGTTGGCCAGAGGTGTTGGAGGAGTGTCTCACGTCCCCTCGGAGACGCTGAAGTTGTGTCTCTGCTCCAGAGGGGCAGAGCTGCTGCTGGGAGAACGCCCCTGCAGCAGAAATGGGGGAGCCAGCCCGGGGCACCCCCAAACCAGAGCCCCGGGAGGAGGGAGATGAGCTCCGGGTGATTCAATGCAGCAGCCAGGCCCTGGGGCTTCTTCCCCTCTCCAAGAGAGGAGGAGGAGGAGCAGCCTTCCTCCCCACCACCCTCTCCCGTTGCTCCCGAGCTGGGAGGGAAAAGCATCCTCGGGCTCCTTCCCAGAGAGCATCCCCCAAAAAGCAGAGCCCCAGAACTCCAGCGCCGGGCTCGTGGCAGGGAGCAGGCGGGGCAGAGAGGTTCCTGCGGAGCCCAGGATCCCTTGGATCCATGGATCCCGGCGGGGAGCAGCAGCTTTGGAAGTGCCACGAGCACCCCCGGCCCCTTCTCCTCCGGCCACACGGACGGAGAAGAGCGGGCGCTGCCTGCGCAGCTCGGGCTGCGTCTGCCGCCCCCCGCCCCATCGGGGCTGGGGATGCTCGAGGGGAGGGGGAAGGACTGGGGGGGCAAGTCCCTGCTGCCCCCGAGCTGCAGCAGGGGGGTTCCTCCCTCTCCGCCCCTCAGGGTGGTTTTTAAGGCGTGTTTCCCTACGACCTTCAAACGGCAGCTGCCCGCAACCCCCTCCCCACGGCCGCCACCCTGCCCGGCACCGCCCGGAGGGTCGCAGGGGAGGGGACAGCCCCGGGGGCAGCGCCTGCTGGGCTCGGGGGGGCTCTGCAGGCACCGAGGGGCTGCCATGGGGCCGGGTGCCGGGAGCGGAGCCCTTCGGGAGCTGGGAGACCCCACAAGCCGGGCCCCGCTCTCCGGGGGCGCCGCTGCCGCTGCCAGACCCCGCACGGTGCCGGTCTCCGCCCGGTACCGCTGCCGGCCCCACGCCCCCCGCCCTCTGCCCATCCACGCACGGTACCGAGGCCGGTTCCGGACCGGCGCCGCTGCCCGGGGCCAGCCCGTGCACGGTGCCGGTGCCATCGCACACACCCCCGTTCCCCGCGGTACCGATCCACGCGCGATGCCGGAGCCGGTCCCTCCCCCCTGCCCACGGCAGCTCATCCGCGGGGCCGGTGCCGCCCGCTGCCGGTCCCCGCTGCCCCCTCCCGGTGCCGGTGCCGGTCCCCGCTGCCCCCTCCCGGTGCCGGTCCCCGCTGACCCCCGCCCTGCACCGGTCCTCGCCGCCCCCTCCCGGTGCCGAAGCCGATCCCTCCCCTCACCCCCCGCTCGGTGCCGGTCCCCGCCGCCCCCCTGGCGGTGCCGGTGTCCCCCGGCCCGTGCCCCCCGCCGGTGCCCCCGCACTCACCAGCGCGGCGCGGGCGCTGAGCAGCAGCAGCAGCAGCAGCGGGAGGCTCCGCAGCCCCCGGGGCGCCGGCGGCGGCACCTCCCCGGGCATCTTCCTGCCGCAAGGACGCTGCCGGCGGCGGCGGGAGGCGGCGGCGGGGGCGGGGAAGGGCCTTTGTTGCCGCCGCCCGCGGGAGGCGGGCGGTGGGTGCGGGCGCTGGGTGCGGGGCCGCCGCCGCCGCCGCGCCGGGGGACTTGGGACAGATGGGGGGGAGGGAGGGGACCTGGACCTATGGGAGGGGTCTGGGGCAGACTGGGGGAGCCTGGGGTACATGGGGGTACCCTGGGGGACAGATGGAGGGGGGGTCTGGGAAAATTGGGAGGACCCTGGGGTGGATGGGGAGGAGCGTGGGGGACATGTGGGGGGCATCTAGGGCAGGTTGGGGACCCGGGGATAGATGGGGGGCGACATGGGGTGGATGAGGGAGACCATGGGGACATTTGGGAGGGGTCTGGGGCAGACTGGGGGAACTTGGGAGGGGATAAGTGGAGAGATTGAGGTAGATTAGGTGGGGCGTGGGTTAAAGGGGGGGAGCCTGATGGGAAGGGGGCACCTGAGGCAGACTGGGGGGCGACCAGGGACAGATGGGGAGGGATTTGGGGCAGGTGGAAGGGACTGGGGTGGATGGGGTGCACTGGAATGGGTAAAGGAGTGCACTGGGGCAAGCCCCGGCTGTGTGGGGGAACCCGGGGCAGATCGGGGAGATCCGGAGGGACATCAGAGGGTCTGGGGGCAGCTGGGGGCACCCAGGATTAGATGGGGGGGAGCCCAAGGTGGTGTCCGGGACACCTGGGGTACCCAGGGATGGATGGGAGGGGAAAACCTTCGGGCATTCCGGGAATCACTGCCGGGCGGACGGGGTGGGGGGGCGGTGGGCGGACGGGGCTGATCCAGCCTCAGTTTCCCCGTTCAAAACCCGGGATGGCAGTGGGATCAGAGGGGCCATCCACACATCCACACATCCACACATCCACACATCCTGTGACCTCCACACACCTGCCAGATGTCCCGGGAGTGGCTCCGGGGATTTGGTCACCCCTGGGGGTGGTGTGGCTGCGGATGAGCTGGGATGGAATGGGAATGAGCCATTTCCACACACGTGGAATTCCTCCTTTCCTGTCAGGGGCCTAAAAATAGACTCAGACTCTCCTGAACCCCCTCATTTACCTCCAAAATACAGCCCGGGAGGGGCTTGGGGAGGCAGGGGCGTTACTGGGACAAAGGAGGGAAAATCAGTCAAATTCGGCCAAAAATGGAGCTGAACCTTGGGTTGGGGGAGCAGGCACTCGGCTCCCCACAAATCCCCCCCGAGGATCCTCCCACTGCCCCGGGACTGGGAACTCAGGAACACCCAGGGGGAGTGGGAAACATCGGGGGGGCTCTGGGGGCCCCCACCTGACAGACTCCATTGGATTTTAATTGTCCTGTAATTAGCAGAATCCAAATCAATTATTTTAAAGTGCATTTATAGAAGGAGTGAGAAGTGGGAAAGGGGGGGGGGGGGCACAAAACCCAGGGAAAGGTGGGGAGGGGTCCCCGGGACTGGGGGTGCAAAGGGGTTCCGGGGGCATCCCAGGAACACGGGGGGAGGTCCCAGAGTGGGGGATCCCGGACAGTGGGATGGCCCCGGAGCAGCGGGGTCCCAGAGAGGGGGTCCGGGGCGTCCCTGGGGCCATGGGGGGTCCGGGAGAAAGGGGGGTCCGGGGACAGGAGGTGGCCTTGGGGTGGGGGAGTCCCAGGGACACCGGGGGGGCTCAGGGACAGTGGAGGAGGTGCCAGGGACACCGGGGACATCGAGGACACCGAGCCGGGCATGTCACAAGGCAGGGGGGTCCCAGGGTCACAGTGGGTCCCGTGCAGGAGGGGTCGTGGAGCAGGGGGCCACCGATGCTGGGGAGGTCCCAGGGACCGGGGTCCCGGTGCCAGGATGCCCCCACACAGAGGGTCCTGGTGCCGGGTGTCCCCAGGCAGGGAGCTGTCCCCACACAGGGTCCCGAGGCAGGGAGGTGTCCTCAGGCAGGGAGTTGTCCCCACACAGGTCCCCAGGCAGGGAGCTGTCCCCACGCAGGTCCCCAGGGCAGGGAGCTGTCCCCACGCAGGTCCCCAGGCAGGGAGCTCTCCCCACAAGGGCCCGCTCGCCGCCCGGGCCGGGCCCGTTGCTGGGCCTGCACCGCCCCGCCGTGGCCGCCGCCACCCCTGCAGGGCCCTGGCCAGGGCCGCAGGGTCCCCGCGGGTCCCCACCGAGGGGTGGCACCCCAGGCGTGGCCCCTGAAGGGTGGCGGGGGTTTGTGGGACCCCTCAGGAGAAGCTGGGGGCGGGCGGAGGGCGCTGCCAGCGGGGGCCTTGTCCCCCTGCTGCCGCGGTGACAGCGGCAGCTCCGGTCCCCTTGTGTCGCCTCGGTAGTGGGCAGTGTGATGGGACAGGGCGTGGCACAGGAGAGCCGGCTGAGGTGGCAGGTCCGGCTGAGGTGGCAGGTCCGGCTGAGGTGACCGGTCCCTTCACGTCCCTCCTCAAGCAGCAAGCACCAGCTGTGCTCAGGAGGGAGCGAGGCAGGGCCGGTGTCCGTGTCCTTCCCGGACCGTGTCCCCTCTGTCACCTGGCAGGGCCAGGGGCTCCGGGTGAGAGCTGATCGCATTCCCGAGCACCTCGGGGTGGGAACAGTGCCAGGGCTGGGCCCGGACCCGCAGGAGTCTGGGGGAGCAAACACAGAGCCGGGGCTCGCTCCCCTTCTCCTGCAGCCTGAGTGGAATGCTCAGTGCTGAATTCAACATTGCAAACTAGATTTATCTCCCTTGTTTTCACCCCAGGGGTGACCAAGGCCCTGGATTGTTTGTCCCCAAACCTGCGGCTGACTGAGCTCCACAGGCACCACCAGGTAAATGAGGCCGTGAAGAGCTCAGAGACACCCAAAGGGCTCTAATGCCCCAAAGTTCGAGTGCCCGTGCCCCTGGTGGCTCAGGGCCATGCTGAGGCACAGGGTGGCCTCAAACGCTGGGCAGAAATGGAGTCAAACCCCAAATCTGCTGAATTTAACACCAGCGGGGTGGGAAAAGGTCAGATCCAGTATGGGGTCCCAGATCAGTCCCAGTGTGTGAACAGATCAATCCCAGCGTGGGAAGAGATCAACCCCAGTACAGGATCCCAGCTCGATCCCAGTGTGGGGATCCCAGATTGATCCCAGGGTGGGAACAGATCAATGCCAGTACAGGGTCCCAGATCAATCCCAGAGTGGGGTCCCAGGCGGGCTGGCCCTGCTGAGGGGTGGGAATGGGACATGGGAAGAGTCTGGGCTTCAAACCCACCCTTTGCATGTGCTAAGCCAGAATATGTAATTTCCTGTAAAATGGGAATTTTCTTGTCTTCTATCACCTGACCACACATGACACTGCCTCCACAAGTTCCCAGATTCATCAACATTGCCCAGATGTCCCTCTGGAAAAGGTATTTAAAATGCAGCAAAGTGCAGTTACAGATAGGGAAGATCCCGGATGCTGCAAATGCGGGAAACTGGTGGGAAGGAGGGGCTGATTTTGGTGTTCTGTTCGCACAGGGAAAGAAATGTGGAGCTGGATCTTCCCTAAATAGCGAATTGGGGGAATAAGAGAGACCAGGACATCATGGGGGCAGCAGGGGTGAGTGGGGGTAGAACCATCAGCTCTGTGGAGCAGCCTGGAGAAGCACCAGGGAATGAATTTCTGCCCAAAATCCCATCCAGCCCTGCCCTCTGGCAGTGGGAGCCATTCCCTGTGTCCTGTCCCTCCATCCTTGTCCCCAGTCCCTCTGCAGCTCTCCTGGAGCCCCTTCAGGCCCTGCGAGGGCTCTGAGCTCTCCCTGGAGCCTTCTCCTCTCCAGGGCAGCACCCCCAGCTCTCCAGCCTGGCTCCAGAGGGGCTCCAGCCCTGCAGCAGCTCCAAATCCTTCATTCTGGGGGCTCCAGGGCTGGGGCAGCTCTGTAGGTGGGGTCTCAGAAGAATCCCCCATCCCTGTGCTCCAGGGAGCCTGTTCAGTCCTCCACTTTAAAATCATCTCTAGGTGTTTTCTCCCCCAAAAAACACCAGCTCAGCTCCCTCCTACAGCACATCACTCACAAAGACAGAAATAAAGCCATTAAAAACGCCCCTTTCCCTGCTCTCCATCCCAGCCCTCCAGCACAACTCCAGCCCTTCCCCATGTTCTCTCCTGCTCCCAGATTGAAGCTCCAAACTCCAACTGAACATTCTATGAAAAGCACAGCCCCAGCCCTACCCATGTCCTCTCCTGGACTGAGGCTGCAATTCCATGAAAAGCACAGCTCCAACCCTTCCCTGTGCCCTGGTCCTGCAGCAAAGCTCCAACTCCCAACTACACACTCTGTAAGAAGCAGAGCCCCAGCGTTTCCCTGTGTTCTGTCCCCGGACTGCAGCTCCAATTCCATGAGCACAGCTCCAACCCTTCCCTGTGTCCTGCCCTCGGATTGAAGCTCCAATTCCATGAGAAGCACAGCTCCAAGCCTTCACTGTGTCCTGCTCCCACAGTGAAGCTCCAAACTCCCCAACATAACATTCCATGAGAAGCACAGCCCCAGCTCTCCCCATGTCCTGCCCCTGGACTGAGGCTCCAACTCCATGAAAAATACAGGCCCAACTCTTCCCTGTGTCCTGCTCCTGCCCTTGGGATGAAGCTCCAAACTTCAAATAAACGTTCCATGAAAAGCAGAGCTCCAACCCTTCCCTGTGCCCTGGTCCCACAGTGAAGCTCCAAATTCCATTTTAACCTTCCATGAACAGCACAGCTCCAACCCTTCTGTGTCCTGCTCCTGCCCTTGGAGTGAAGCTCCAATTCCATGAAGGCAGAGCTCCAGCTCTTCCTTGTGTCCTGCCCCTGGACTGAGGCTCCAAACTCCAACAAACGATTCCATGAAACCCCGAGCCAGATTCCAAAGTTCTGTATTTTTCAAAATAAAGATCACACGTTGTTTAGAGACAATCTACACAAGAGTTACAAAAAATAGTCGCCCAGGCAGAAGCATACACAGGTTTGTTAATTATACACATATGGTTACAAGTGTGCTTGCAAAAAAGTTCATTGGAAATATACACAAGGCTCTGTAAATGTACACCGTGTAGTGTTACAATTCTATATTCAAACGAGGAAAATTGACAGTATGTTACATTCACTTACAAGTAGACAAAATGCAAAATACAGTTCATCTTCTGTACAAAAAAGGGGGAGGTGATTCACACTTTACAAGGTGAAAAGGGGCTCTGATTGTAAGGAAAACTAGGAGGGGGCTGTACTTTTGCACTTTTTGTTTCTTACTGTCACAAAAGAAGCAAAACATTACTTTGTAAGATTCAAAAAAACACTATTTGGAACTGAATCAGGTCTGTAGAACATTTAGAAAGGATCTCTACCGTCCAACTAGGTGACAAATAAAACCAAGCAGTTTATTTTTCTTCCTTTTTTGTTTTTAAACATTAACTAGGCTGTATAAAGAGAACATTTCCTTCAAAAGAAAAAATTTACTTCTGGTTGAAATTACAATTTACAATATACAACACTATATGCTACGACCATAAAAGGTGTGAATATACACTGAAATGCACAGGTTTTGCTAAATTCTTTTTTTTTTCCTGTTTTCTTACCAAAAAACGGGTTTTATGTCGATTCAAACTTCTCCACATTTACATTACAGAGGTTTACAAATGTACAATTGTACAGTCAGAAGTATGTTCCACTACTAGGGTACATTATAGATACAGATCAGACATCAAAACAAGAAAATACTACAAATTTTTATATATGTAAAGTCTACACCAAGTATACACTATATATTTATAGAAGCAAGACCAAAGCCGAGTTGGATTTTTTTGTTTTTCCTCATGCTAAATAATCAAATTGTGTCTCTCCAGATGAACAGAGGAGTGGGCATAAAAAACCCTAAAAATCCTCCACTTTTAGATAAACTCTGGGTATTTTCTCAAAACGCCAGCTAAGCTCCCTCCTTCAGCATGTCAGTCAAAATAAAATAGAAATAAAGCCATTAAAAAGTCCCAAAATCGGAATTTTGGTGTCTTTGTTTAAAACCTAACTTTAGCAAGTTGAATTTTTCTCTTTTTAGTATTACTACCAGTGGTGTCACTGAACTAAAATTCCAACTTCTCACTGATTTTTGGGCTAAAAGGAGGAAAAAAAACCCCAAAAAAAGGTATTTGCAAAAAAGGATGAATTAAAAACGGGGTTTTTTTTCCTGTTTTGTTTGTTGTCTTCGAACCAACCACCCTGAAAGTCTCCACATTTGGAATATAGATACAACAGTGAACAAAAATGTGGCCTTCCATGTACATCTGAGACCTATGTACAAGAATTCTATACACCAGTAAAACAGCAGGGCAATTAGTTAATTAAAAAAAATAATTAGTACATGTTATGCATAATAAAATTAAAGAAATTTACAAAGGCTTCTCTTTTTTTTTTTTTGTGTTTTTTTTTTCTGCTTTTCTTTGCTTGTTTTTTTTTTTTTGTGGGTTTTGTTTGTTTGTGTTTTTTTAGCAACCGTGGCGGGTGGTGTGGGTGGGTTCTGGGGTGGATTCCTGGGATCCTGGAGTGCCTCTGGAGCAGCCCCTGCTCAGATGATGCCATTGGGAGGGCCGCAGATGGGCCCCAAATCCACCCCGTTTTTCATGTAGTATTTCTCCAGCTTGGCCAGGATGTGCTTGCCGTAGGTGTACTTGCGCAGCGTGGCGATGTGGGGCCGGATCTGAGGGGAAAGCAGCAAAAAAACGGGATTTAGGAACCTCAGTGGGGTTACACCCAGCCCCTGGGTCACACAAACTCCCCCAGACCCCAGAGCTCTTTGCTGGCACTGATGGCTCAGGTTGAGCTTTTCTATTTTTCAGATTTTATTCTCCTTTGGTGTCCATTACCCTTTTAATTTATCCTTTTAATAAATCCCTGCTTTATTCTTTAGCTCTGTCCAGCTCTGTCCTAGGGCAGCCTTCCCAAGACATCAGCACCACACAATTCCTGGAATCCAGGCTGTGTTCCCCAACTCCCAGTGGGATTCTGGGAAGGAATTCCTGGCTGTGAGGGCGGGGAAGGGCTGGGCTGGAATTGCCAGAGCAGCTGTGGCTGCCCCTGGATCCATGGCAGTGCCCAAGGCCAGGCTGGACATTGGGGCTGGGAGCACCTGGGACAGTGGGAGGTGTCCCTGGGGTGGCACTGGATGGAATTTAAGCGTTCTCCAACCCAAACCATTCCAGGATTCCATGATTTCACCATTTTATCCTCTCCAAGTGGGAACAGCCCGTGGATGTCCAGCATTCCCTGCTCCAAGGGTGGGCAAATCCCACCACTGCCCACAACCAGGGACCTCATCTCCAACTGCTCCTGCCTCAGCAGCTCAGCCTCCAGTCCCTCACATTTCTGTTCCACTCCAGGGACCCATTCCCGAAGGACAAATCCAACCTGGCTCCCCATTCCCAGCAGGAACGATCCCTGTGCCCAACAGAAGGAGCAGAGAAGCTCCAATTTCAACCTTTCCTTCTCTGTCCAGCTTCATTCCTTTCACTTTCTCCCTTTACTGACACAACTGTTAAAATCACTTTTCGATTTTATTAAAAAAAAACCTTAAACAAACCCCCATTTTTAGCCCCACCCCAGCTGCTGTTTTCCACAATCAGCAGCCATTCCCACAGCCCCTGGCTCCATTTTTCCAGGGTTTCCTACAGCCTGGGATCACAGCTGAAATCACATTCACTCAGGCCCACTTAGCTGTCAACCCTGAGCTATTTTTGACAGCCCCACTGATAATCTAATTTGCATTTTATTCCAAAGGCTTTGCTCCATGGGAAAAAGAAAGTAAGAAATGTTAGGAACAATAATTTGTATTTTTTTTTTAATACACAACTCTCTGTTATGAATTAACAAATCTAGGGCTGTTCTGCTGCCACAGATAAATTGGGTGTATCCTTTGCCAGATATTGTTATTTAATTATCTTAAGCATTTCTTGTGGACTAAACAGATTTTGGGTTAAAAGAATGACTCTGAGTGGCTCCTAAACCTAAGAATTAAGATCCCTGAGGATTATTCCAGCTGTTTGTGTTCATTCCGTGCACGTGGAGGTCAAAGCAGCTCCCTCCCACAAAGTGCCATTTCTTACAGAAAAACCAGTCTGGTTTAGTCAAGGATGCTTAAATATAATTTAAAAAAAAGCTTCATTAGCATTTGAATACCTGACATTGTTCAAAATAAGTAAATCTCAGCTATTCCATGCCTGGGTCAGTCAGGATTTCATTTCTCTGGCTGTACCTGGGCTTTTTCATCAAGTGACCCCAACAAATGTCACCGAGGAAAATTAAAATCCCCTCAGCCCCACCCCCATCTAAAGCCTGTTATTCTCCATCCACTGCCATTCTACAGCCCTGAAAATGTGACCTTTAAAGGCAGGAAAATGAAGATATTCCCTGTTTCCAGGGCTCCCTGCCCCTGGAGCAGCAGACACAGGGAGCTGGGGACAGCAGCAAGGCAGATTTCATTCCAAATTGCTTCATTTTGGATAAATCTGAACTCCTGGGATGGCTGTGCATTCAAACACTGCAGGGTAATACTAAACCCTGGAAGTTTAGGATATCAGGAGGATTTTTCTCCATGGGAAGGGTGTTCAGGCACTGGAACTGCCCAGGGAGGTTTGTAGTGCCCATCCCTGGAGATGTCCAAGGAATTCCTGGAGGTGGCACTCAGAGCTCTGCTGGGAACAAGCTGGGGACAAGCTGGGGACGGGGCACAGGCTTCACTCAGTGGCCTTGGGGGGCTTTTCCACCCTCAGGCATCCCAGGATTCTGGGAAGTGTCACACCAAGATTCATTTAAAAGTGAGAAACAGAGGATTCGATTAATGGCGGTGGGCTCGGAGGTGGCACCAGCACGGTGGCACCAGGCAAGGCCAGTGGCCTTGGGAGGGACATGGAGGGACAGGCGGGGCTGGCAGCCACAGGCACAGGGACACAGACACAGCAGACAGCCAGGGGGACAGATCCAGCAGGGACACGGCCACAGGGACACAGAGGGACACAGCCTGAGCAACACAGCTACAGGCAGAGGGACACAGGGACACAGTCACAGGGATACACAGGGACACAGCCCAAGGGATACAGCCCACAGGGATACAAAGGGACACTGCCACAGGGACACAGCCAAAGGCACACAGAGGGACACAAGCAGCAGGGACAGAGGAGCACAGGCAGGAGGACACAGAGGGACACAAGCAGCAGGGGCAGAGCCCACAGGGACAGAGAGGGACAGCTTGCAGGGACACAGACAGGGGGACACACTGGGACACAGGCAGAGGGGCACAGGCCACAAGGACACTGCCCACAGAGCCAGAGGGACACAGCCCCAGGGACATAGAGGGACAGAGATGGGGGGGACAGCCCCAGGCCCAGGTGGCTCCTGGTGTCACTGTGATGTCCCCAGCCCGGGAGCTGCAGGCCCAGCCCCACGCTAGCAGAAGCAGCGCCTGCTCCGTGCAGAACTGGGTCACTGGGACACGGGCACTGCTGCCAGCTGCAGCTCAAGCCCAGGGGCAGCTCCGTACTCCTCCAGAAAGCTGGAGAGGGATTTGTGACATGGGAATGGAGTGACAGCACACGGGGAATGGCTGCACTCAGACAGAGGGCAGGGACAGATGGAATACTGGGATGGAATTGTTCCATGGGCTCCCAACACCAACAGCACCTGGAGCTGCTGGAGAGAGCCCAGAGGAACCCACGGAGCTGCTGCAGGGCTGGAGCCCCTCTGGAGCCAGGCTGGGAGAGCTGGGGGTGCTGCCCTGGAGAGGAGAAGGCTCCAGGGAGAGCTCAGAGCCCTTGCAGGGCCTGAAGGGGCTCCAGGAGAGCTGCAGAGGGACTGGGGACAAGGATGGAGGGACAGGACACAGGGAATGGCTCCCACTGCCAGAGGGCAGGGCTGGATGGGATCTTGGCAATTGGGAATTGTTCCCTGGCAGGCTGGGGAGGGGCTGGGCTGGAATTGCCAGAGCAGCTGTGGCTGCCCCTGGATCCCTGGCAGTGCCCATGGCCAGGCTGGGAGCACCTGGGACAGTGGGAGGTGTCCCTGGGGTGGAACAGAATGAGTTTTGAGGTCCCTTCCACCCAAACCCTTCTGTAATTTCCACCTCCCAGCCACTGAAACACTCCAACCCCTCTGCCACCACTTCCCTGCACGCCCAGCGTGGCAGTGCCAGGCTGTCCCTCCCCAGCCCCCAGTGCCCACCTTGTGCATGACAATCTTCCTCTGGGCTGGCTCTGCCACGTCGATCATCTTCTGCACCACGTAGTTGGCGTACTGATCCTTCATCATGGTGTATAAGGCACTGTGGGGGCCGTCGTTCATGGTGCACACCTCGTCGATGAGCATGGCCCGCTCCGTGCGCGACGCGTGCGTCACACACTTCTCCACCACATTGCTGCAAGGGCACGGCAGCGTCAGCGGGGACGGGACGGGAACGGGGATGGGAACGGGGAATGGGAACAGGGAACTGGGAATGAGGAATGGGCAATGAGATGGGAACTGGGAATGGGAACGGGAATGGGGAATGGGATTGCAAATGGGAACTGGGAATGGGAACAGGAATGGGGAATGGGAACTAGGAACTGGGAATGGGAACTGGGAACGGGAATGAGGAACTGGGAATAGGAACTGGGAACGGGAACTGGAATAGGAATGGGAACAGGGAATGGGAACTGGGAATAGGAATGGGAACTGGGGAATGGGAACAGGAACTGGGGAATGGGAACTGGGGAATGGGAACAGGAATGGGGAATGGGAACTAGGAACTGGGAATGGGAACGAGGAACTGGGAATGGGAACGAGGAACTGGGAATGGGAACTGGAATAGGAATGGGAACTGGGGAATGGGAACAGGAACTGGGGAATGGGAACTGGGGAATAGGAACAGGAACTGGGAATGGAGCAGGGAACTGGGACTGGGAATGTCTCCTCAGAGCTTTTCACCCAACCCTAAGAAGATCTCATGTGCTGCTACAAGGGCAGGGGATTTGTGCTGGCAGAGCTCAGCAATGTCAAACAGGGCTTGGGATCTCAGTGGGAATTTGGGATCTGGACCAGCTCGTATTTCACCCCAATTTGTGCCTTGGGATCTGAGTGGGAATTTGGAAACTGGACCAGTTCAGGCCAGTGTCCATGATGCTCTATGAGGTCAGTGTCCACTCTCACAACAGAGAAGCCAAGTTGTTGTTTTGATTTTCCGCATGCTGAAACGTGGTGGGAATGGACATCCAAGGTTAGAACAACAGGGAAATGCTGGTTCAGGAATGAAAAATCTCAGCCAAGCAGAGGATTTCCAGAATTCCTGAATATATTAATGAGCAGCCTGAGCTCTCTGGAGATCCAGAAGTAGGGTACATGAAAGGGGACCACGAGCTGTGCTGGGCTCATCCCACAGCCCTGCCTGACTCACAGCATCACCCAGCGGGTTTGCTCAGCTCAGGGGACCCTCCACTAATTAATGCTCCAGCTGGAAGGAAGTTTGGGAAAAAAGAACCAGGCAAAGCAGGGAGGAAGAACCTGAAATAACAACGTGAAGCCACTCTCTCCTAATTCTCATTAATGTTCTACTTCCCTCGTGTCCATGGGTACTCTCATCAGAGGAAGGGGGAATTCTGAGCCTTTGAAGAGCTCAGCCTTCACGTTCCAAGGCCTGGAAGCACATCCAGCAGGGATTCACACACGTGGGAAGCACTGCTTTGTCCTGACATCCACAAATACCTGGGTCCTGCTTCACCTACATGTGGCTCTGCAGTATCTGGGAATGCTGCAGCTCCCCTTGGAGGGGTCCTTGGGTGTGACTCAAAAGGGACACAGCAAAAAGCTGGGAATGACTCTGTGACTGAAAATTCCTCTGGGAAAAGTGGAATGGATTGTTGCTGCATTGATTTCCCAAATCTCCCCGTGGCTGGACACAGCATCCCAGGGGAATGAATATTCTTACTATCCAAGGGGTAGTGACAACTTAAACCCCATGAAAATATATCAGATAAACCAAAACACACAAGAATTCTTGGTAAAATTCAGGAGCTTGGATTAGAACTACCCTTCTACACCTTCATCCTCCTCCATGACACACCTCCACGGCTGACACACCTCAGTTTATAATTGTTATAAATAACATTTTTTTATGAAACAAAAGTAATTTTCACCTCCCCTACACCCACCCCTAAGTCTCCTGCAGCTCCTCCATGTGTCCATGCTCCCAGAGGGAGAATTTAAGGAAGGAATCACTACCTGGCAAATTTATGTTGACTCAACACAAGCACGTTGCCTCTGATTTCTGCTACGATCTTGCTCTTATCCTCGGGCCGGCCGTGCTCCAGGACGTGCTGGATAACATAATTCCCATACTGGTCCTGGGTGGGAGACAGCAGAAATGGTCACAAAAGGTGGATAAGTGGGCTAGAAGCAGTCCCAGCAAACTGATTCCCAAAGTGCATTCAGAGTTAGAAGTTCAACTCAAGATTAATTATAATATTTACTGTACAAATCAGCTCAATACTTTCTATTTCTACAAAAAATGTGCATTCTAGAGTGATACCAGGTGGTAAAAATGATGCATTTTTGTAGAAATTGTATTATTTATAGAACTCAAAATGATGTGCTTGCACAGGGAATGTCCATATTCTGCTTATTCCCAGGTTCAACCCTACCAAATCCCACGTCCTGGAGGGGCGTGCCACAGGTCTGGCTAGGGGACACTGTTGTGAATTTAGGAATTTTCATACCACAGGATATTTATTTTCCAGTTCAGGGCACCACAGGCATGGCTTGATGACCATGCTCAGCCTCTTCCCACTTCCCAGTGCTGAGCACACAGGACTTGGGCACTGGACCAGCTCATATTTCACCAGTTTGTGCCTTGGGAACTGAGTGGGAATTTGGGAACTGGACCAGGACTGGGTTTGCTGGCTGGGTTTTCTCCACAGGCCCCAAGAGCAGAATCCCTGTAAAACCCTGGCACACCAGGTTCTCTCAGGGACTGCAGGGAGGAGGGAAGGCAGCCAGAAGGGGGGTGAGCACAGAACCAACTCTTTTTAAGAATTCCAGTGACTTGGCACCTCCTTTTCCCTGGAGTGACCAGCTCCTGGCACCCCTCCTGCTCTTCCCTGCACTGAGAGAAGCACCAGGACATGGGGCCTCCTCAGGAAGGGAGGTGACAACACCATTGGCACCCCCTGGACCTGTGCTGGTGAAATTCCTGCTGCTGTGCTCACTCCCATCCCTTTTCCAGGTGGGAATGCGCCCTGCAGGAGCTGTCCCAGCGCTCAGCAGTGACCTGGGCACATTGCAGCCCCTTCCCCACTGACCTGCACCAGCTGCTCCGTGTGCTGGTGGAGCTCCTCCAGGATGGGCAGGGTCTGCTCGGGCAGACAGTGCTCCAGGATCCTCTGGATCACCCGGCAGCCGTAGGGGTGCGTGGACAGAGCAAACACCTGGGGACAGAGGACAGGCAGCAACACGCCATTAGTCCTTGGGAATCCCAGAAACTGCCAGGGTTCCTGCAGGGAATGTCAGCTCCAGGCAGTACCAGCTGCAACTGGAAACACCCACCAAGGATCCAGGCACATCCCATCCCCACCTGGGGAAGTCTCAGCTTTCCCATTCATGAAAAACAAATGGTAAAACCTCTTGATTCATAAAAAAGCCCTGGAACAACCAAGCATTTCTAGAAGCTTGGTTATTTTTTCCAAATAATTCCAGCACATTGTTTGCCAGCACAAATTTTAAGCTATTTAAGAAATGCTACGAGCCAGAAAAGTTAAAAATGCCCAGCAAAGGATTTTTCTCAACTGTTTGGATTTGTTTAAAAGCCTTAACAGTGCTTAGGAGAAGTGACAACAAAGAATCTTTCTCATTTCTAATGGATTAGCAGATCTGTGGGTGAGAACATGACACATTCTGTGATTGCTGCTCCGTTTTCTGTCTGAAGCACAAAGTCCCGTTTGGTTGCTTTGATTTAACAACAGCAGCAAATCCAAGCACTGAAGTTTAAATCAACAGTCACACATTTTTAATAACTGGTGAGTAAGCCCTGCAGGGAAACAGGGCTTGGAGTGCAATTAACTGCAGGAAAATCATCTGGAGGTGCTAAGTTTAATCTGCTGTGTGAAGGTTCAGATTAAACTGGGACAACTGGTCAAGTGCCATCAGCTGAGCTCCCACAGATGTTTCTGCCTTCCCAAACACCAAGTGGAAAATCCATGCCTAAACTCTAGTCAGGAGCAAGTCTCCAGCCAGAATCCTGTTTGTTTTGACCCAACCAAGCAAATCCCCACCTTCCCCAGCTCCTGGTTCCTGCTGTAACAGCCCCTGGCTGTCCTCACATCCCTGGGGCAAGTCCTCAAAACTTCAAAATGCCCCTGCAAAGCCAATTAAATTGAGGTTGGGAACACCCAAAAAGCAGCACTTTTGTACTGGGACCTGAGGCAGGCAGAGTAAAGCCAGCCACAACCGATACCCAGAACACCAATTCAGGAGAAGACACCAATAAAAAAAACAAAGAACTGAGAGAGTCAAGGACAATTGCCCATTTCTAGATTAAATGCCTGCATTTTCCCTGCTCTGAGGCCTTGGGAATCAGTATTCAGCCTAAGCCACCTGCACAGACAGGGATCATAATGAAACCTTGCTCTCCTGTGCATCCCCCATTTTCCTCTCTGCTCCCTTCAAAGAGAAACAAATGTGAAATGCACAAAGTTCACCAATTCTTTGGGCTATCAGGGTCACCTATCACTAAAAGGGGATCAGCCCAGGGCTCAGAACTTGCTGGAATTTTACACAAGCGAGGTGATAATTAAGGAATTAATGAAGTTTAGACATGACTAAGGTACCTCAGCAGCACAAAACGCTGCTCACCAACTTCACTGGGAAGATGGATTAGGGAGAGCCTTGTTTTCCCTCGTCACTCAAAAATACTCAATATTCCAGGAGAACAGACTCATGCAAGGAGGTTTTACTCTGACAGCTCTGCCCAGAAACGATAACATGGATGTGACCACCAAGGAGTTTCTGGACTCTCACACGGCTGAATCAACCCTGCAAGCAACAGCTGCTAAAATTGAGAATTCCCAGGAACTGAAGTCCCAGCCACTCTGAGGCTGTTCCAAGCAGGCAGCAGGAGCTGGGCAGGGCCTCACCTGTCCCTTGAAGGCATCAATGATGAACTGCAGGGACTGGGGCTGCACACACTCGATGCACTTCTGCACCACGTGGTTCCCGTTCTGGTCCTTGACGCACTTGAGCACGTGCCCGTCCAGCTCCCGAACCATCTCGTTCTACAGAGGACACAGCACAAACAGAAAGCACCACCAGCATCCCCAGCTCAGAGAGCACAGCTGGCACTGCTGGCCTGGGCAGGAATGGCACAGGAGTGAGGGGTGCTCCCATGGCCAGGAGATGAGGCTTGGCTGGACACAGAAACCAGCAGGGAAAATCCTGCACTGGCACCCCGTTAGCAGCCTGCTGGGAGGGGCCCTGGACAGGAGCTTGGAGCTCCATTCCAACCCAAACCATCCTGGGAGTCTAGCAACATGAAGCCCTCTTTCTTGATGAGCATCATCTCCCAAGAATCTAAATTAAAGAAATCCTAACTGAGCCAGAGTTTTCCTGTGCATCCCCCATTTTCCTCTCTGCTCCCCTTAAAGAGAAGCAAATCTAAAATGCACAAAGTTCACCAACTCTTTGGGTTACCAGGGTCACCTGTCACTAAAACAGGGTCAGCTCTGGGCTCAGAACTTGCTGGGATTTTACACAGGTGGTAATTAAGGAATTAATGAAGTTTAGACATGACTGATGTACCCCATGTGCAGAGTGGAAGCTTCAATCACAAACAGAAATGACACTTTGGGGCATTTTAATGCTTTGACAAGATCTGGGTGAATTCAGTTTTATAACTGAACCAAATCCAGGAATTTGGGGAGCACTGAGTACTCAAAAATGCCACTCTGGAGGAGACAGTAAATCCTTGGAGCAGCAGTGCTGGAGCCTGGGAACAGCCCTGCTGACACACTTGGCTCAGGCTCAGCCTAAAGGGAAGGACCACTCCTAAAGCCTCTTTCATATTTTTAATTTCATAACCTACATTGAGATTCCTGTTACAACCATTCCCAACCCTTCCCAAGCCAGCCTGCCCAGAGTATTTTTCATCTCAATTCATTGTTCCTAAAACCCTTGAGGAAGTGCTTTATTAATGAGCTCTGAGTGGGGCTATCAGCCACATCTCTCCAAAGCCAGAACGAGGAGCTCCTCATCCATCTCCCTGCAGGAGCGCAGGATGCTGACCCACATAGAAATAACTCAGTGAATATTAAAGGCAAAACTCTTCCTTCAAGGGATTTAAAAATCTCTTTTAATTCACCCTCATTTTCAGTTTTCCACATGATCTGCTTCCAGAGAATTAACAGAGAAGCAGCCCCATGGCCAGGGAAGGGGAACAAGGAGGTGACAATGACAATGAAGGACAGTGGCACAGACTCGTCACACACAAGGAACACCACAAACATGCCAGGAACCAAACCAAGGGAACACCAGGCACAAGAGGGACAGGAGGGAACAGCTCAGGAACATCAAACATCAAGAAGAAAGTTAAAATTGAAACTTACAATTACCTGCTGGTCTGGGGGGATGAACTCCAGGGCCTTCTGGATCACCCTGCAGCCGTACATCTGCAGGGCCAGGGACAGCACGTGCCCACGGATGCGCTCTGCCAGCGCCAGCTTCTGCTCCAGGCTGCCAAACTGGGACAGGAGAAACAGTCACTGCAAGGACAAACCCCTGCCCTGGCCACTGGCACTGCCCTCCCACCCTGGGGGCAGGAGCTGCCCACGGAGAAGGATGGAAGATCAGCCCCATGGGAAAGGGGTGAACTGGCCCAGCCAGACATGCTCTGTGCCTGCCTGCAAACCCCAAAGGGGCTGGGGCCACCAGGGTGACCAACCAGCCCTGGACAAGTCACAGCCCCAGGGCTGCCAGAGCTCCAGAAGTGCTGGGACAATGGCTCAGGCACGCACAGGGTGGGATGCTGGGGTGTGTGGGCAGGGGCAGGAGCTGGATTCAATCCTTGTGGGTCCCTTCCAGCTCAGGAGGTTCTGTGATTCTGATTCTCATTTACTGGGCAGAAGCACCAGGAACACCTGGTGAAGGACCAGTCCAGTGTCCAGAGAGAGGGGTGGAGGGACACAACACCTTCCCAGCAGCTGCTGTGATTGGAGAAGTTTCTCCCTTGTTCCCAAGTCCAGGAGCACTGACAGCTCAGCACAGCACCCTGGACAAGCTGTGCTGGATCTGCACCTCACAGAATGCCGGGGGGGGGGGGTTGGGCTGGAAGGGACCTTAAGGCTCAGTTCATTCCAACCCCCATCCACTTCCCACTGGAAATTTACATCTCCTGAATGTTGCTGTTTATCACAACATATTTTGCTTTTTAAAGTGTTTCTTTTCAGATAAATCTGAGTCCCATCCCTCAGTCACCCTAGCAAGAAAGATCCAACAGCTTGTGGGGAGGAGATAGCACCAGTGGAGAAGGTTAGCCACAGGTATAGCCTCAAGGCAGGGTTTTCCAGGCTCATCCAACACCTCAGCACAGCATGAACCTCAGGAAGAGCTGCAGGGGAGGGCAGACTCACCTCAAAGAACTTCTGAATGACGTAATTCCCAAACACATCCACCATGAGCTGATAGGCTGCCTGCAGGATCTCGTTGAACACCAGCTGACGCTCTGCTGGGGTGGCACGCTCCAGTTTCAGCTGAATAAATCTGAAAAGCAGGCCTTGGAGTGATGCCATGGGCACATCTGTTCATTCAACCCCTTCCCAAAGCCTCACCCGTGTGTTCCAGAAACAACCATGAAAAATCCTATTATGGCGTGAAGATTAAGCACTTTCATTAACTTAAGCTTCCTATCACAAGTTAAATATTCAAATTTAAGACATTTTAGTCATCCACAACTTGCAACGCTCTTGCAAACACAGCTATTTTATCCAGCCATCTGAAAGCTCGGGGTGGCCACAGCCATGAGGTCCATGGCCACATGTTGGAATCTTCATTCCAAGCAAAGCAGATCTCAATGCAGTAATGGAGGATGGCCTTGTGTCCAGCTGGCTTTTAAAATGGATTTAGCTGTGCCAGCAGGATGAGCGAGCAAACCACAAAGCATGGAAGCTCTTTTTCAAAGAATTCCCAGAATCACTGGGTTGGAAGAGCCCTTCAAGCTCATGGAGTCCAACCCAGCCCCAACACCTCAACTCAACCCTGGCACCCAGTGCCACATCCAGGCTTTGTTAAACACCCCCAGGGATGGTGACTGCACCACCTCCTGGGCACAACATCCCAGAACTTTATCACTTTCTGTGAAAAACTTTTTCCTAATATCCAACCTGTATTGCCCTTGGGGCAGCTTGAGGCTGTGTCCTCTGGTTCTGTCAGTTCCTGGAGAAAGAGCTCAGCCCCAGCTGAGCCACAGGCACCTTTCAGGACCTGTGCAGAGTGATGAGGTCACCCGAGTCTAAATCTGAGGCTAAATCTGAGGAGGAATTCCTGCTACCAGCACCTGTCCCCAACCCTGGACAACATTCCCAGGCATGCACAGGGTGGGATTGTTGGGGTGTCTGGGCAGGGCCAGGAATTGGACTGGACAATCCTTGGGGATTCTGAGCGTGACACTGGCTTGGCTGTTCCTGCTTATTCCCTGGTCTGCCTCTGCTTGGGGAAGTGAGACAAAACACGACTGCGAAACTCAGCTGTGAAACTCAACTGTGAAACGCAACCAACAAAACAACAACCACAAAACCACAATCACAAAACACAACTGCAAAACAACAACCGCAAAACTCAACCAGCAAAATGGAACCAACAAAACAACAACCAATAAACTCAACCGCAAAACTCAACCAGCAAAATGGAACCAACAAAACAACAACCAAAAAACACAACTGGAAAACACAACTGCGAAACTCAACCACAAAACTCAACTGCGAAATGGAATCAACAAAACGTAACTGCAAAACTCAACCATGAAGTCAACTGCAAAATTCAACCGCGAAATGGAACCAACAAAACACAACCATCAAACACAACCATGAAACACAACAACGGACACTCCCGCGAGGAGCAGCCGTGCCTGGCTGCCCAGCCCACCTGGATCCGTGCTGATCCTGGGAGAACTCCATGATGTGGCCCGCGATCTCGCGCAGCTGCAGGTTGGGGTAGCGGTTGTTGCGGAAGTCCTCAAGCAGGCGGCTGCGGCCCGAGGGCATCACGTCGGACATGCCGTAGCGCAGCCGGGACGACGGGAACAGCGTGCTGCTGGGGCTGAACAGGCTGGAGGCGCTGCTGGCACTGCGGTACTTGGCCTCCGCCCCCGGCGCCGCAGAGATGTAGCGGCCGCTGCCGTTTGTCAGCCCCCCTGCGAGGGAACAGGGATAGATGGGGTAAGGGAACGGATGGGATAAGGGAATGGGGCAGGGACAGGACAAGGGAATGGATGGGATACGGGAACGGAGCAGGGATGGAATAAGGGAACGGGGCATGGATAGGAATAAGGGAATGGATGGGATAAGGGAATGGATGGGATACGGGAACGGGGCAGGGATGGAATAAGGGAACAGGGATGGATGGATGGATGGATGGAATAAGGGAATGGATGGGATAAAGGAATGGGGCAGGGGTGGGATAAGGGAATGGATGGGATAAGGGAATAGGGCAGGGACGGGACAAGGGAATGGATGGGATAAGAGAATGGGGCAGGGGTGTGATAAGGAACTGGGCATGGATAGGGATAAGGGAATGGATGGGATGAGGGAATGGATGGGATGAGGGAACGGGGCAGGGATGGAATAAGGGAACAGGGATGGATGGAATAAGGGAATGGATGGGATAAGGGAACAGGGCAGGGATGGGATAAGGGAATATGGCATGAATGGGATAAGGGAACAGGGCATGGACAGGGATAAGGGAACGGGGCATGGATGAGCCTCATGGGGACAAGGGAACAAAGCATGGAGGGGCCTCATAGGGACACAGATGTGACACTGGATCCCTGAGTTCTGTTCCAGCATGAGGGGGGTCTGACATTCAGCTAAGCAGGACGCTGAGGTGGGATTTCTAAGAGAATTTCTAGGTGGGATTTCTAGGCAGGATTTCCTTACTGGAAGGGTGTTCAGGCACTGGAACTGCCCAGGGAAGTTTGGAGTCCCCATCCCTGGAGATGCCAAAGGAATGAACATGTGGCACTCAGTGCCCCTGTGGAGCTCAGGTCCAACCTGTGACCAAAGACCTTGGAGGGCTTCTCCAACCTTGATGATCCTGTTTTATGATGTTCAGGCCTTGGATCTGCCCAAGGAGGCTTGGATTCCCCATCCCTGGGGGTGTCCAAGGAATTCCTGGGCATGGCACTCAGCTGGGTTCGTTGATCAGTCACAGGTGGGACTCGGTGACCCCAAAGGGCTTTTCCAACCTCCATGACCCCATTTTGTGATTCCTGACTGAGCTGAGTGAGCTGCCCACCAAGGAATTTAGATGGGGATGTGTCCAAGCATCTGTGGCACTGCTGGATTAGGGTGGGGACAGCTACAGACTCCAGCAAAGGACTCTGATGATCCCTTCTAAACCAAGATATTCTGTGATTCTGACTCTATTCAATGACATCAGATCTGTGACTGTGGCTTTCTGACAGTGTAACAACTGCTCCTCCTTCTGCGTCCAAAGTGTCTGAACCAGGCCAGTGGCAATCCCAACCAACATCCCCCAATTTTAGCATTTTTGCCGTTTCCACTGCCTCTGCCTCCATCCTCAGGTTTTTCCCACCTCTCCTACTGCCCTGGCAGGGACTGAGTTAAAAGAAGTGTGCTGGGGGTGGGGGATAGATATAAAAGTATAAAAAAAGCGGATATAAAACCACAAATCACTATTACACACAGGTAAATACCAATAAATTAAAACCAAGAAAGGTTTTAAACCCCTGTGCTTTCACAAATGGCCAAAATATATGCAGCCACATTAACAGAGATGCTGTGGGGCCCCAAAACAGGAATATGGGGACAGGTGATACTTCATCCCACAAAGAGAAGCTTTGACAGGAACAAACTTGAACCTTCCAGTGCTGTTTCCCTGGCTGCAAGTTTTCAGGATGTGGCTCAGCACGGTGGCAGAGGATTTGCTTTCTGCCTTTCCTGCAGGGCTTGGGATCCCTCTGCTGGTGCAGGAGGAGCCTGCATGGATTTTCCTGGGTGGAACGAAGTCTTTCCAGGGAACACATCCTGATCACACAGGGACATGCAGGGTCGAGGTGAGGCAGGGGAAACCCAGAGAAATGAGCTGCAGGAATCTGTGCCACAGAGGGGAGAGCTCCAAGGAAACCTTGGCATGGCTGGCTGCAGAGAGGCAGCTCCTGGCAGCTGGACTGGAATTAAAAGTATTCCATAAAAACAGAGCTGAGGGACCTGCACTCTTTGGCCATTGACACCTGGAGGAAGCACCCATGCAGGAAACCGGATGAGAATTCTGTATTTATAACAGCCTAATTAACTACTAATTCTGACCTCTGTGGCTCACCTCCAGCTCAGGATATTTTGTGATTCTACATCTCTGAGCTGGGCAAATTTCTCTAGAGCTGGTGCCAGAACTCTCCTTTCCCAAGGAAGGGGAAGACCCTTTTTCCTCCTGTTTTTTCCCAAGGAAAAGGAGAGCTGAGAGCTCCTTGTGCTGCCTTGCAATTGAGTGTTCAGCACCTCCTGCACCCAAACTCCCACACTGAGCAACAATTCCCAAAAGCCACGCAGTGATATTCTTGATATTCCTGTCTCCTGGAAGGAGCAGGATTGCCACAGGAAGAGTAAAGCATTTCCCAGGTGAGGAAATCCAGGAGGGACAAGCAGAGCAATGGGGCATCGATGTTTCCCATGCATCTGGAATTCTCACAATTGCCACTTTTTGTTCTAACACCTGGAGCAAAATTAAAAGTTGGGACTGAAGTGGAAAATGGTTCCTGATGGGAAAGAGGAGGGTTTGGCACTCAGGCTGTTATCCCCTGGTGAAGAGCACAATCAGGACACAAAATCTGTCAGAGGTTTTCGGAGAAAGCCCCAATCACTTGGAGATTCAGAGTGACTCCACTTTCCCCCTGTCTGTTTCTCCTGATGGGAATGCTGACTGCAGGTTTCCCCAGGATACTCAACATCACCCTGGGACCACAGAGATCCTGTGGGGAACAAGCTTCCTAAATCACAATTCTGAACCTCACCAAAGTCCTGAAATCATAGGGTGCCTCCAGCTCCTCTGTGCCAGGACTTGGGTCAGATCCCAGACTTGAGTGGGATTTTACCAAAAACTACAAAGAAACTGATGTTTTCTTCCTCTGGAGCCAGGCTGGGAGAGCTGGGGATGCTCCCCTGGAGAGGAGAAGGCTCCAGGGAGAGCTCAGAGCCCTTGCAGGGCCTGAAGGGGCTCCAGGAGAGCTGCAGAGGGACTGGGGACAAGGATGGAGGGACAGGACACAGGGAATGGCTCCCACTGCCAGAGGGCAGGGCTGGATGGGACCTTGGGAACTGGGAATTGTTCCCTGGCAGGCTGGGGAGGGGCTGGGCTGGAATTGCCAGAGCAGCTGTGGCTGCCCCTGGATCCCTGGAATCCTGGATTCCTGCTTGTGAAACTAAAGAGAAATCAGGGAACAGTCTGGGGTGGGAGAGACTTTAAATCCCATCCGGTGCCATGGCAGGGACACCTCCCACTGTCCCAGGTGCTCCAGCCCCAATGTCCAGCCTGGCCTTGGGCACTGCCAGGGATCCAGGGGCAGCCACAGCTGCTCTGGCAATTCCAGCCCAGCCCCTCCCCACCCTCACAGGGAACAATTCCCAATTGCCAAGATCCCATCCAGCCCTGCCCTCTGGCAGTGGGAGCCATTCCCTGTGTCCTGTCCCTCCGTCCTTGTCCCCAGTCCCTCTGCAGCTCTCCTGGAGCCCCTTCAGGCCCTGCAAGGGCTCTGAGCTCTCCCTGGAGCCTTCTCCTCTCCATCAGAACTGATTTTATTACACAGGAAACCAGACCCCTCTTCCCACTGCCCTCCACTACCAATAAAAGAGAAACTTTAAAAAATAAAATGACTTTTCATGGACTTCAAGGTCAAATCCCCCAAAATCAGATCTATCCCAGGTGAAATCTGACCTACAGCATCACCCAGCATGGAACCAGCCATGGAAGGGACAAGGGCACAAGGACAGGAATACTTTGGGAAGATGAGAAGCCCCACACTGATCCTCTGGAGCATAATCCATTTCTGGGGGTACTAATTCCAATTCTTTTCCAGAGTTTGCTCCCAGACAGATCCACCTTCCTCTGATCCAGAGGAATTCTTAAGATTTTTTGATTCCAAATAATTTTTAAGATTTTTTTTTTTTTTTTTGCTGCAAGGGCAACCAGCTTTTTCCTCGGTTTGGAATCTGCTTCCTCCTCAGGACTAATTTATTGTGGCCATTTAACTGTCAGCCAAGGCCTCCACAGCTGCATAAATAAAGTCAAAATCCTTCCAGTTCTATTACAGCTCTGAACAAGGCACGATGGTAAATCTGAACTTGATCTCCAAGAATCATATTTATGACTATTCCAGCTAACCTAGAGCCAGCACTGGATTTATCACACATGCATGGAATAAACATAATAAATACAGTGTCTGCTGAGGGGGGAAAAGTGCTCTGAGAAGCAGAAGTTTTGTTAAACCCAGCAGATTCATGACACAACCAAAACCATGTGAATTTTTGGAGGAAATATTAAATTACCTTCTGCAGGTGCAACAAATAATCTCTTTGGTTTGTTTATGAGGGACTGAACACTGCAGGAGGTTCAGATGGGCACTGCTTTATTATTTAATATTTGCTTTATTTATTTTTAAGATTTATTTTATTGCAGGCCAGGCAGAAGCTCTTTGAGAAGATTCAGCTGCACAAAGTCATGGATCTTCCCAAAATGATTCCTCCTGTGCATTTGATAAGGCCACACTGATGGGAAATTTTCCAAGGTAAACTCACCAAATCCTCAGCTCAAAGCTAAGCACTGCTCCAGGAAATATTGGTTAAAAGCAGGAATTGTATTCCAAGCTCATTATTTCCAATATAATGGGTATTTTAAAACATCCCCTTTAAAACCATTTAAATTGAAGATCAACTCTCCTTATCAAACCATTGCTGCTGTTACCAAGACCAATGCAAGAAAATCCTGTTTTATAAACACTAGAGAATATTATCCCTAATTTCAAGCTAAGGAAATGTCTTAGGTTGGAAGTGGGGGTGTGTGTTCTGTCCCCCCTGTCAGAGCTGGGCAGTTCTCTGCTGTTCTCTGGGCAGGTTTCTTTATCTCTCCCACAGCCAATCCTCCCTCCAGGAGATCTCTGCTCTTCATGGCCACTGAGTGTCCCTGCATGGCTGATCAAATTCCAGCATCCCACTGGGAGATGCTCCGCCCAGGGCAGGAGCCAAGCATTCCTACCTGGATACAATCTGAGCCTGGAACAGCACAGCAGCCTTTGCCCACTGCATTCCCAGAGGAGCAGCTTTCTCCTGCCCTGCATTCCCAGAGGAAGAGCAGGCCCATCCACAGCAGCCCTGGAGCTTCAGAGGAAAACTCCAGCCTTGTGCAGGATCCCTGCTCCAGCAGAAGCACAGCTGGCACTGCAGGAGGGCTGAGCCCCCATGGGATGGGACTGTGCCACCGCCCTGACCCACAGGGCTCAGCGCCTGCTCTGACTCTGGCAGGGTTGGTTTGTACTACTGCATTTGTATCTTTAGTTTCCCTAGTCAATAACTGTTATTCCAATTCCCACATCTTTATCTGAGAGCCCCTTAATCCCAAAATTATAATTTGGAGAGAGGGGGTTTGCATTTTCAGTTTCAGGGGAGGCTCCTGCCTTCCTTAGCAGACACCTGCCTGTTCAAACCAAGACAGAAAAAAGGAGGAAAGACGGAAACCTGTTCCCAGCTGAACCCTGTAGGACACACATCAGGACGGCTGGAGCTGAATTAAAGATCATTTTCCACCTAAATGATTGTGAGACCCCACAGAACTCCAGCCCTGGGGAACCAGGGACGCCCCAGGAGAGCAGAGCAGGGCTCTTACCCAGGTTGAGGCTGGAGGAGGATCCATGTGAGGACAAGGAAGGAGGAGGAGTCTGCGAGTGGCCGGGGCCTTGGCTGGGCAGGGGCATCCCCACGGGCCCGGGGGAGGAGGAGAAGCCCAGGCCATTGTAGAAGCTGTGCCCGATGGGGGTCAGGCTGCTCGAGGTCCTCTTGTACAGGTCACTGCTGCCCGTCAGCGAGTCCCGGCGTGAGCCGCTGCCCGTGGTGGAGTTCGCCACTGCAAAACGGGAAAATGGGGAAAGGGGAGATGCCACCAGCCCCAACACTGGAGAGCCACAGCTCCACTGCACTGGGCTGCTGCTTGGGAAAGTGATCAAATGCAGCCATTAAAACCAGCCAAAATCATTGAAACCACGTTGTTAACGATAAACGGCCAAACAAATTATCTGGGATCTTGTTTTTGCCTTCAGCGCTTTGGAGGATTTACTGTGACAGAGCACAGGGAGAAACAGCTCCAAAATTCCCTATGTAGAAAGGTCAAAGGATAAATATCTCCCTAAAGGAAGGGACCACGCTTTGGGGGCACACTGAGACCTCTGAGGACATGCTGAGACCCTGGGGACACACTGAGACCTTTGGGGACACACCAAGCACTTGGGGACATGCTGAGAACTTTGGGGACAAGACGAGACCTTGGAGACATGCTGAGTACTTGGGGACACACTGAGCACTTGGGGGACACACTGAAACCTTGGGGACACACTGAGACCTTTGGGGACACACCTCTGAGGACATGCTGAGACCTTTGGGGACACGCTGAGACCCTGGGGACATACTGAGACCTTTTGGGACACACCGTGACGTTTGGGAACATGCCAAGAACTTTGGAGACACACTCAGACCTTGGGGACACACCAAGCACTTTGGGGACACACTGAGAACTTGGGGACACACTCAGACCTTTGGGGACACACCTCTGAGGACATGCTGAGACCTTTGGGGACACGCTGAGACCCTGGGGACATACTGAGACCTTTTGGGACACACCGTGACATTTGGGAACATGCCAAGAACTTTGGGGACACGCTGAGCACTTTGGAGACACACTCAGAGCTTGGGGGACACACCAAGCACTTTGGGAACACACTGAGAACTTGGGGACACACTCAGGCCTTTGGGGACACGCTGAGCCCTTTGCTCTGGCCCTTCAGGAGAAGGTCTGAGCTCCCCAGAGCATTCCCAGGATAAGGCAGATCTGAGCTCCCCCTCCTGTTTGTTCCCAGCCACCAGAGCGGAGCCCCAGCCCCAGGAGACTCTCCCTGTGTTGGCTCAGGAGTGAGCCCAGCCTGGTGCACAGCTCCCTGAAATCCCTGTGCTCACCTTCCAGCAGGTGAGCAATCAGCTCCTGTTTGCCCCCAGCTCTATGGAGCTGGAAATCAGAATTCAATTTCACTCCTAACCCCCACGGTTTTTAAGAGCTGTCTTGATAGGCAAATACAAACTCTTTAAATGCACTGTCAACTTGCAGGGGAAAAAATCAATTTTGCATTAAAATTTTGTTTAATAAACAGTGAAATTGTTAACTGTAAAGAACTAATCATTTTTGGTGAGTGCACACAGGCTCCAGAAGCAGCAGGATCAAAGTTTTATTCATTGATTGAGGGAAAACATCTTTGTGAATCTTGGCACTGAGCAAACCACTCATGGAATTCAATTAGTTAAATAAACTGAGGTGAGAGAAGCAAATGCTTTGTTTACCTGGAACCAAGATGGTTCCAATTCTCAAGGCTGGGTTGAAGACAAATATTTAGAATAACTTTTTATTGCAAACTGCTCCTCTGTGAGGTAAACTGTTCTGATGGAGCCAGGCTGGAACCTGCCCCTCACTCTGATGAGAGCAGCAAAGTTCAGGACATAATGACTGCCCTGAGACTGAGCAGTAATTAAAACAATTGTTCCACTTCAAAAAAACCACAAACCTAAGGGGGAAAAAAAACCTAAAAAACCACAGACATCTCTGGATGAGTTTGATTTTGAAAGGAGCCTTGGTCTCCAGCTGCCCAAAATCATCAAAGCATGGATGGGAGGTGTCTACAACCACAGAGTGATTCTTTTGGTGTGTGATGGAAACAATTCCCAGAGTAAAGCACAGAAACCACCTCAGATCAGCTTTTTTAAAGGCATGAGGAGTTCCTCAGCCTTTACTCTGAGGTGAGAGGGGTTGACACACTCTGGAACCAACTCCTGTCAGCCCAGTACTTCACATGCAGGGAAAAACACTTCCAAATTAATTACTCTGCTACTGCTAATTATCATCTACTAAACGCATTTCTGCCAAGAACTGCTGCAGATTTTGAAGCCTCAAGTAGTCCCTAAAGGAAAATTCCCAGTTAGGCTGGGATGGATGAGGAGGGCTCAGCTCAGAGCACAAACTCCTGAAATCTGGAGCTCCCCTCACGCTCCTTTCCCGGGTGTGGGAATCCATAAAAGCAGAGGGTTTTGGGAAAGCTGCAAAAGGCAGGCCTCAGAGACAGCAGAACTGTGATTAGAACTAAGCAGCAGCCATAAGACTTGTCAGCAGAAAAATTATATAAGATGTAGAAAGTAAGGGCAAATAGAACAATGGTTCATGTATTAATGCTAGTCTAGAATAATTCCCTAAGCTACAGAAAAGTACAACTAGTGAGATGTTAGGAAGTTCTAAGCTTAATAATGAAGCTCTGTGCATTGTGTTTTAAGGCTTACAAGCAGGTATGGTATTAGAAATAAGGAAGCATTATTTTAGCCAAAGGTACATGTGCTTAGAGTGGCTGGACAGAACTACTGTCAGTGCTTTTGCTTTGTGTGATTGGTCAAAACTTATCTTTAGTAAGATCTGTCTGGCCACTGTATCAGGGTCAACCCCTGAATATTGCCTCATATTTTTCCTCAACCTTTCTAACCACCATTGGGGTTTCTTCCCTCTTTTGCTGCTCATCCAAAGCCTTAAGGGCATTTTGCTTATGTGGAGCTGCCTCTTTGATACCTCTTATAATCAATGTTCTGTACTCCCCCATGTCTTGCCTCCCCCCGTGCTGTTGTGGTCCCAGGTGGGGTGCACTGTGGGCACTTTCAGATCCCCAGGGTGTCCTTGCATTCTCCCTCTCCCATATCCATATCCCAACTTTTAAAGTGAGCTGTAACATTGAGTTCTGTGTCTGCTGTTGGGGATGTGAGCTGCTGGCATATTCCCATGTTATAACTATGTCATGAGAGTGATGTTGGAGAATCAAAAGCTCAAGAGGTGTCCCACAGCAGTCCCATCCTTTTGGTAATTCCCCCTCTTGGTTCAACTAAAAAGAAACCTTTGTAACCATGTAGTTTATTAACTGCCTTGTGTTTCATAGCTTTACTAGAATATATCTGCTTATTACTTGTTTAAAGCATCTTTTTTGCTCACATTAAGCATTGCTATATTACAACACAGCAATTTTAATGCTGTGAAAGTCCAGTCAGTTCAAAGGGCATAAGTCATGTCTGATAGCAATTCCCAGTCATTGTTCAAAAAAGTCTCACTGGTTCCACGGTCTTAATTCAAAACCTTCCTCCATGTCTATACCTTCATCCACTATCTCTGTAAGATTTTGAGAACTCTCTGTGAATCCATTTCCTACCTCTCTCTCTTGCATGATAGAAACTTCTTTGATAGTTTTCTCCATCATTTGTCGCACACACGTAAGTTTGCAGGGTATCACTGTCAGTATCACCACTACAACACTCAACACATACAAACCCATTCCACAAAGCTCCCTCAGCCAAGGTGCAACGCTCCGTTCTTGGAACAAATCACCTAACCTGCAGCCTCTGACGAAGCAGAGGCGTGCCACAGCAGCCCCATCCCGTTGGTGCCGTGCACCCAGCCCAGGCCGGCAGTCCCAGAGCTCACCTGCCGTGCCGAAGCCGCCCAGCGCCGAGCCCAGCGTGGCTCCCAGGGAGCTGCTGCTGCCGAAGCCCAGCGAGGTGTTGGCGGGCTGGGCCGAGCCCTGCGAGAACAGCGAGCTGCTCTGCGAGTTGCTGCTCAGGGAGTTGTTGCCGTAGAAGGAGCTGGAGGCCAGGTTGTTGGTGGGCTGCTGCTGGGGCTGGGGCTGGGGCTGCTGCGTGCCCAGGGGCCGGAAGGGGCCATTGGTGGTCCCTGCCAGCCCTCCTGCTGCTCCGTTGGCCGACGCCGCGGCCGCCGCCACAGCTGCAGGACACAAAAATGGGCAAAAAATGGAAAAGGCACTGAAAAAATTCATTTTCATCACAGTTCTGGAAGGTAAAACTTAGCAGGTAGTTTTGAATTGCTAGAATTTTTTTTCTTTCAGGACCAAACTCTGTGTACATCTCTGTTTATTCCATGTGAGCTGCCCCCAGCCCCCAGCCATGCCCAGCTGTTCTTGCTGCTCTTGTGCTGTTGGGAGCTGCACAGACCAAAATCAGGAATGGTTCTTTCTCCAAAGATCCAAGAGTCCAATCAGTGCAGCCCCACACTGACAAGGGCCAGTTAAGAAACCCGAGTTTTGAAATAATTGAGATGATCCTTCAGCACATGAAACATGAACCTCGGTGCCAAGAACATCGAAGCCCAAAGATTTTGGTTTGCAGCCAGTTCCGAAGTTAAATAAAAAGCAAAATAAACAAGAGCTACAAGAAAACAATTAAAAGGCCTATTTCATAATCTGAGCCCAGTGCTAGCAGGAGCTGCTCACACCAACGGATTGAAAAATCCTTTTAAAAGCCTTGAACTCCCAAGGAACCCAAATAAATGCCAAAGCAACTCATGGCAAAGGCCATTTTAGGCATGGTTGTGTCATAAAGCACAAATCATGGAATGGTTTGGGTTGGAAAGGACCTTAAACTCATCCTGTTCCACCCCAGGGACACCTCCCCCTGTCCCAGGTGCTCCCAGCCCCAATGTCCAGCCTGGCCTTGGGCACTGCCAGGGATCCAGGGGCAGCCACAGCTGCTCTGCCAATTCCAGCCCAGCCCCTCCCCAGCCTGCCAGGGAACAATTCCCAGTTCCCAAGATCCCATCCAGCCCTGCCCTCTGGCAGTGGAAGCCATTCCCTGTGTCCTGTCCCTCCATCCTTGTCCCCAGTCCCTCTGCAGCTCTCCTGGAGCCCCTTCAGGCTCTGCAAGGGCTCTGAGCTCTCCCATGAGCCACTGGGAATTCTGAAGGCTGCAGCAGGTAGGAAAGCTGGTGCCAGGGGACAAATTTAAATACCTGCCGCGAAACTCTACAAAATCATCCAGGTTCCTGCTCCTATCCCTCTCCGTGGCTGCTCCGGAGGCTCAGCCCAGGTTGAGCACAGAGGATGTTTCTCAACAAAAATCCCTGGATGGATCTCAGTGAGGGCAAGTTTGTCATCACTGCCAGCGGAGCACGGAGGGGTGGGGACACTGGGGACACAGCAGGCACTTGGTGGGAGCAGAAGTCACCTGTATGAACCACTGGGGGGGACAGGACTCACCTGTCTGACCCGGGGAGGGGACAGGACTCACCTGTCTGACCCGGGGAGGGGACAGGACTCACCTGCCTGGGCTGCAGAGGAGCTGATGATGACAGGGGCAGGAGCCACCAGGCGCACAGGAGCCCCCAGGCCGTTCCTGGCCCCGGCGTTGACCACGAGGGCTCCTGTTTGGTCATAATAAGCAGCAGGAGCCAGCACTGGGTAACCTGCAGAGGCAAGCACAGGTGACAGGGCAGGTGACAAACACATCACCCATGTCTAGGTGAGGGCAGTGCAAGAGGGTTTTTAAAGGAAAAGCTGAATGGGAAAAAAAAAAGAAGCAAGAACGGCCCTGCTTTTCCCAAAAATGCCCACGATTTTACACTAAGAATTTTGGGTAGAAAAGACATTTTGCACCCTGAATCTTTTCTATTACACTGTCACCAGTGCAAATTCAGCTAAAAAAGGGTTTAAAATACAAATGCACCATTTCTGCTCCATGACATGTACAACGTGTGCTGGGATTGCTCAGAGGTGGGGCTGCCAGGGTGCACCCACAGGGAACTTCCACTTCTGTATTTTGGAAGGTTGGTACCATAAAATACTCTTTAATGCATGTAAATAAACTCTCATAAATGCTGGTGATACACGCAGCAGCAGCCTGACAGAATATAGTGATTTAGGCATCTCATTATGGAATTCTACATTAAATGAAAACAATAAAATTAAATGCAGTGACTCTCTAAGGTGGGGGGTCACTAAAAGAATGTTCCCTGGGAATATTTGCTTTGCAAATACAGGTACAAACATATATCTATAATTGTATATATGTGTGTATTTGCTTTGCAAATACAGCCCAAATAACAGAGATTAAAGAAAATCTGCAGACTGCTGGAAATCTGCACAGCTCACTTTGTAACTTAATACTGCAACATTCTTCTTAAACAACAAAAAAACCCAATTAAATTACGTGACAGTACCAGCAAGGAGACCTGAAACCCAAATAATCCTTTTTTCCTTACATTTGACCAGCAGGACATATCTGCATGTTATTCTAATGAGCTCAGATTCATCCTTTGCCACCACAATAATACCCTGAAAAACTGAATTTCAGCAGCTTTTTACCCCAAAGCCTCAGGGATCAGAGTCAGAATTCCTACAGCAGCTCCACCAATGAAGAGCTAGAAATGAGAACTAAACCCTGCTTCCTTTTATAAACCCTTTTCTTTCCCTGTTTTTAAGCCTCTTGGAAGAGCAATCATGGAAGGAAGCCCCTGTTAAGTCAAGCACCTGGCAGGGATGGAGAGCTGAGATGAATGAACAGGACTAAGAAACCTCTGAGATTTAAAATACAGATCCCATAAGCTTGAAGGATCCACAGAAAAATCTGGAGGTGATTTTTCGCAGGAGCCATCAATTCTTGGAGTACAGTGCAGGCACAGGGAGATAACACTGCTGTCACCTGCGCCACAAGGTCACCTGTGACCCCTCAGCGCTGCCAGCTGGGGACACACCCAACCCCAGAATGAACCCCCAAACCAAGACAAGCAGGCACTGCTGGTGCCAGGCAAAGGCAGCCCTGGGAGATGGCACTTCCCAGGCTCTTCCTGGCCCGGCAGTGCTGGTACCTGGCATTCCTGCTGCCAGCCCCTGGCCGAAGGCGAGCGCGGAGTTGACGGCGGCGGCGGCCACCAGAGGATCCGTCTGCTGGCCCTGCTGGTTCTGGTTGGGAGTCAGGGGACGCTGGCTGGCTCCTCCACGGAGCACCTGCAGAGGACAGAACAGCCACTGGGTTATTATGGATCCAGGAGACAGCCACTGTCACCAGGCAGGAGCAGCACCAGCGGGGGAAACGTCTCTCCTTTGCTCTTAATTCACTTTTCTTCACATTCAAAAAGGGCACGGAGAGGCAGGGAAAAGAGCTGGGAAGGGTCTGGAGCCCCAGGAGAGGCTGAGGGAACTGGAAAGGGACTCAGCCTGGAGAAAAGGAGGCTCAGGGGGGACCTTGTGGCTCTGCACAACTCCTGACAGGAGGGGACAGCCGGGGGGTCGGGCTGTGCTCCAGGGAACAGGGACAGGAGGAGAGGGAACGGCCTCAGGCTGGGCCAGGGCAGGCTCAGGGTGGATATCAGGGAAAATTCCTTTACTGAAGGGTGGTCAGGCTTTGGCTACCCAGGGCAGTGGTGGAGCCCCCATCCCTGAAGTGTGTAAAACACACACGGAGTGGTGCCTGGAACAGGGGTCAGTGCTGGGTTAATGCTTGGACTCGATGACCTTTAGAGGGTTTCTACAACTTTCAACTCCCTGATCCCACCTCCAACACTCATCCTCTGCCAGAAGTGTGCACAAGCCACCTGCCCACCCCAGCTAATGTCTGGTCCCTGTAACCACAGCCTCACCAAAAGCCCTCTGAGCAGACACCTCACAAAGCCCAGTTCAGGAGCTGGGGACAGATGACAGGAGGTGACCTGGGTGTCTCCAAGCCACCAGCCCCTGTTGAGGCCATAGATCTGGTGACACAAGACTTAAACCACAGGAAATCATGACCACAGAGTCCACAGTGGGGTTTGTAGGGACAAGCTGCTGTGGTGAGAGTCCCTCAAAAGGGACGATGGCAGAGTGGCCACCCTACAATTACCTCAGCCAGGCTTGGTTTGGCAGAGCCTTGCTCAGAGCTGGTGCAGGAACCTGCAAGCTCAGCTTATTAAACGAGCCAGCCCCGTGTCCTCAGCACATCCTGCTGCAAAAGTGACATGGTGGGTGTCACCTGCTCGAGTTATTAACAGGAAACACTGACTCGGTGCACGGAGAGGCTGGGGAGGATCCCCAGGTCACTGACTGGGAGGTGCCCCCGAGCCTGCACAGGAACCTATTGGGATGTTGGGGGACACAGGACAGATGATGGACTTTGGACCTGCTTGACACAAGAGATTTGATAACAGGATGCCTTGGCAAAAGCAAACGGAACTCTGAAAATTAGACCTGAATTGCCAGAAGATTCAATCAGATGGATTTACCAGAAAAAAAGAAAATCCCATTAAACTCTGCAAGCAAGAGATGCTGTTATATGCACACGTCTGTGTAAGTGATTTTAACCTAATCACTGCAGTATGCATTTCCAGTCTCCCTACAACAGTACACAAGTGTTTGTATCCCACCATAAAGTTGGATTCTGATCACTGAATCAGTCTCCCTGTCTCTCTCCATTGCCAACAGGAACCTTCCAGCCCAGGGAATCTCTGGGAGCCAAGAATTCCAGGGGGTGCAGACTGCAGCACTGGAATGCTGGTGGGTTTTATTAACATTCTATTAAGATGTCACAAGAGTGACAAATCAAGTGTCCACACTCAGTGCTCCAGGTTCCCAAAGCCTCTGCCTCAGCACTTTTAATGCAAACAATCCCTGCTGCATCCCCTCAGAGCAAGGTTTGCATTCCAAACCCTGCTTCCGACCCCACTCATGCCTGCTCCATGGCCATAAAAGTAATGAAACATCCCATAAAGGCCACTGGCACTGAGATATTTTATTTTAATAGCCTGAGCCTTTGCAAGGCTCTCTCATCTCATGCCTGCTGCATCTGTAAAGGCCTTAGAACACTTCCTGACACTGGGCTTGGTTTTCAAAGGGTTTTCAGCTTCTGAGCTGGAAAATTCAGCTGCCATTTGCTCTTTATTCTGCCACCTCCACCATCAAGGACCAGACAGGAGCGCTGCTGGGGGGACTGAAGCCCAGCTCTGGCTCCTGGTGATTTCCCCTCACACACCAACAGCACCAGAGGTTTGCTGCTGCACAGCTCAGGCCATTCCCAGCCTGACCCACTGGTGTTCCCCACAGCACTGACACCACCCAGGTACACGTGCCACTCCCCTCATGCATGATGGATAAATCAATTTACAAATGTACAGATGGCTCCTGTCCCTTTGTCTTTAGGACAGGCCAAAGGGTTTTCTCCTCATTTAAAACTACCCAGAGCTGAGGTCAGGATCACTCATAGAAAACATCAGGGTTTTGAACGGCTGGAGCCGTGTCAGGGGAGGCTTGGGTTGGGTTTTCCACAGAATCAGCTGGGTCAGAAAAGACCTTTGAGATCACCAAGTCCAACCTATGAGCTGACACCACCCTGTCACCCAGACCACGGCACCAAGTGACAAAGTGACATCCAAGTTCTCCTAAAACACCTCCAGGCACAGGGACTCCACTCCAGTGGGCAACCCCTTACACTGTCCCATCACCCTTCCTGGGAAGAAAATCTCTCTGATGCTGTTCCCCCAGAGGGAATGGGCACGGGAATGGGAACGGGAATGGGCACGGGAATGGGAATGGGGTTGTAGGAATGTGAATGGGCATGGGAATGGAAAGGGGCACAGGAATGGGAATGAGAATGGGAAGGGGCAGGGACATGGGAATGGAATGGGCATGGGAATGGGCACAGATGGCCCTGAGGCTGCAGAGTTTGGACGGCGCTCCCAGGGATGCCCAGGCTGGGATTGCTGGGGCTCTGTGGAGGTCCAGGGGTTGCCACCCAGGATCCCCAGGGGTCACTCCCAGCTGAGGACATTCCCCACCCAGAGCCCAGGTGTCCCTGGCCCAGGAGGTGCCAGGCCTTACCTGCTGCTGGCCCTGCTGCGTTTGCTGCGTGCTCTGCTGGCTGGCTGAGTTGGTGGCGGCGGCGGCGGCGGCCGCCTGCTGCTGGAAGAGGCTGGCAGGATAAACTCCCCAGGGAGTGACTCCATAGTACTGGTGAGGGACCACAGCTGGACCTGGAACACAGCAGGGGCAGGGTGAGCTCCTGGGGGTCAAGGGGCACACAGCACCCCAAAAACACCTGCTTATCGTGCCTAGTTTAATGGGATCTGTGTGAAACCCTCTGCAAACACAGAGGGATTTGGCATTTGGGTCACACATCTTATAAAGTTTCAAGTCAGACCTGGAATTTCATCACTGCACAAGGTCAAACTCTGCCAGCAGTGATTCCATGTTGTTATTGGTGTGTCCTGGTTTTACAGAGAAGGAACAAAAATCTCCAAGCCCAAAAGAGGAACCTTGTTTCAAGCACAGAGACAACTTCTCATCCCAGCTGACATTCACAGCTCACTGCCATCCACCTTCAGCTCCTCAATAAATTACCAAACCTCTTCACAGCTGGAGTGCATCAACCCTTAAGTATTAAAATGCTCTTTTTCCAGCCCTGCTTTGCATTTGCAAATGTCCCCTAAAAGAGGCTGCATGATCCTGTCCCTTCCCACATCCCCTCCTCAAACTTAAGAGGCTTAAAAATAAAAAGAATCTCGGAGAGCAGCAGAAAAAGCCTCACTTTTGAAGACTCCTTGTGTTCATCAGGTCTCAGAAGACCACAGAAATTTGGAGATAGCAGAATGGCAGCCTCTGTCCTTAAATAATCCCAGTTAGAGTAATGCTGAGGAAGCTCTCAGTGCTGGAGGAGGAGCCCTTCCCACCCCATAACACGGATGGCAATCCAAGAATATTTTTTAATATGACTGTTTGATATCTTTAGGAAAGGTCAGCAGAAAACAGCAGTGTTCCCTTTGATTCCCAAATACATCTCCCTTCCAAGGCTCCCTCCCCACAGCAGGAATAGCTCAGGCAGAGCCAGAGTCAGATGTGACACTGGAATTAAGAAATCTTTGGAGAACCTTGGTCATGTCTAGAGTAAAACCAGGATTTTTTTTTTTTAAGGGAGACACTCAGGACTTGGGCTCATTCCATGGAAAATGAGGATGACACAAAAAGGGAGGTGCAAACAGTGTTCTGTGTTAGCCTGGCTGAGACAACAGGGGGAAATCCTGGAAGTCCCTTTTCCTTTTAGTTTCTGTTCCTTTCTTCTTGATTTTTACAGTAACAGTCTCAGCTCAACTCCTGCAGGATGTCAAGGAGCTGGATGAGCTCCTGCTCCTGCTCATCCACACTTCAGAACATTCATTCCATGTCTTGTGCCAAATATTAAATTCATATTTCAAACATGTAAGAATTACTCTCATTATACTACTCTGGTTTTAACTACCGTGCTTTCCCCAAATTTAGGACTGAGGTGCCCAGCTCTGTGCACAGCAGGGAGGTGCTGGCTAATTCCAAATTCCAGGCAGATGCTGAACACCTGGATTTGTATCTCACCCCAAAGCCCATCCTTGCTGGATTTACAGAATCAGAGAGGCTGATCTGCTTTCCCTGCTCCAGATCTGGAGCAGCAACCACTCATTTCTTACCTTCCACCCTGGAAATTCATGAGCAGTGTCAGCTAAAATGGAAAAAAACCCTCAGCAAACGAATCAGTGCCATGAAGGTGGTGCCTGTGGTGCCTCAGCAGGCACAGACAGGTAGGCAGGGAGTGATTTTAACCTGTTTATAATCACTGAATGCACATCAGACCCCAACTCCCAGGGTTCTCCTGCACCCAACAGGGCAAGGGCTGCAACTGCTCCCTTTTAATGCAAGTCATTAACCTGAACTTGCCCTCAGGCTGCTGGAAGTTGCTGGAATTCCTTCATCTGGACAAAATTTGGGCATCTCTCTGGGACATTTTAGTCTCAGCTCTAATTATCAACCAAGCACAACCTAGATGGGCTTTTCTCCTAGGCAGAGGTTGCTGCCAAAGCCCTGAGTGTACAAAAGCAGAGCAGACTTTGAAGTTTGCAGCAGCTGGGTTTGAAAGGGCTGCGGGTCTGGCTCAGCTGCTCCGAGCACAGGAGAGAGGCTCATTATTGAACAGAGTTCTCAGTGAGGGCAAGTGTGGCATCACTGCCAGACCCAGCAGCACCCAGAGCTGACCCCCTCCAGCAGATGCTGCACCTGCTCCTGCTCTCATCAGAGCTGGGCATTCCTGGGAAAAGAAAATTCCAGCACCTCTGGAAGTGAACATTGCCCACGCTGTGTCACACTCAGCCCCTGGACAGCCAGAGCTGCTCCTTGCAGGGAGCAGCAGCAAATCCAGCTGGGAGCGTGCTCAGGACATCACTGGGGTGTGTGAGACCACCGAGGGCTTTGTGCTTCCACCTCAGCCTGCCACCCCAAGCTCTCCTGCAGGACAGCCAGCCTGAGGAGCAGTGACAGCAGCTCCAGCTGCCCCAGGAGCTCAGACAGGCTGCAGCAGCAACTCAGCAACTCCAGGGATCTGGGGGGTGATCCCTGTGGAACTCCCAGGGATCTGTGGGGTGATCCCTGTGGAACTCCCACTGATCTGTGGGGTGATCCCTGTGAAACTCCCAGCATGGCACCCACGGGGTGCTGCTTTTAGGGATGGCAGTGAGCAGCGGAGCTCAGAGGTGCTGCCCCAGCCCAGAAGGGCAGGGACTGCCCAGGCTGGCTCTGCTGAGGTACCCAGGACAAACCCAGCTGCAGGAGCTCCCAAATGCCAGTTCTGGCACGGTGTGCACACACCCACAACCTGCTCCAGCTCAGCACCAAGGGCCTGATCATCTCCCCCAGGCTGAAAAACCCCAAAATGTGCAGTGGGAGGATCTGATTCTCCTGTGTTCAGGTCACCCCAGCATTCATCCACCTCCCCACAAAGAGCAGGAACACTTTGCTACCTGCAATACTCCACCCCAGAGGAAATCATTTCCCAACTGGCCCAAAAAAAGGCAAGTTTTCAGTTTTTTGAGTGACATCTTTCTCAAATGATGGAAGGCAATTCAAAGGCAGCAGTATCTTCCCCACAGTTTAAAATCTAAATGAGGGTTTTTTTTAGGAAGTTCTTCCCTCTGCATTCAAATTTGTTCTTTAAAATGCTGCTATTGTTGGGAAGAGAAGAGCATTATCCTAGAGCTGCCAGTCTCACAATCATGACAAACCTGCCATAATGGCAGAACTTTAATTGACAGATTATTTCTGCCATAAAACACACACCAAAAGTTTCCTCTCTGCTCTGAGAGGAACTGTGAGCAATAAACTCCAAACTCATTTCTTCCATCTCCGAAGCTCCTCCAAGTCCTCCCAATTTAACACTCCCAGGCACATCGAGGAGGCTTTTTGGCTTTGTATAAACATTTAAATTGTCTCATGTTCCTCCAGTGCTGCTCTCAGTCATGAGAGAAAAAAAGGGTTCTCAAACCTGCTCAGGCCCAGACAGGAAAGATGCTTTTCTGAAATAAACATCAACACAAAGTTTATCTTGTCATTTCTAGGGTGCAAAGCCTGATGAGAGAGTTAAAGTAACTCCTATTTCTCAGTGGCGTAACACTATAAACACACCCAGCACATTACACATTGTTTTGTTTCTTTTGAGAGCCATAAATTTAGAATTACTCAAGTAGAGGCCCTGATGCCAAGTTCTGGGATGCTTTAGGTATCCCTGGGGTGTTATTTCCAGTTCAAATGTCTAAAACCCGAGTTAAGCACAGCCTAAATGGGGTTTTCTTCTGGTCAGAGGCTGCAAAAGTTCAGGCAGCTCAGCTCCAGTAGAGCTCAGAAAAAGAAAAAAACACTGTGGCCAACACTTGGTATTTCCTGGAAAGGTGGCCCAGCTCCATGTGGTCTTTCTATGAAATCAAGCTGCTGACCTGCTGCTCCACTCTGCTACCACAGAAAGGAGCTCTGCAGGCCCTGGGGTGATGCACAAAGGCCAAGCAGGAGCCTCTCTGTACAGGAATCACTCACAAACCTCCCCCTCTGCCTGGAACTGGGGCTGCCAGCGCCCTGGAGCTCCTCCTGACTGAACTTCCCTCTGGCATTGGCCAGCAGCAGCTCAGCTCAGTCATTCCCTGCTCCATTCACCATCCCAGGAGGGTTATCAAGCCCTGGAGCAGCAGCAATGTCCTTGTGCCCCTGTCCTTGGCTCTGTCCCACGGAACCACGGCGTCACCCGTTTGCCAAGGCCTGGTGCTGCCTCCACCCAATCTCCCCATGGCATTGCATAATTCCAGCACAAAATTCCCAGCAGCCCAGGCCAAAGCCCAGAGTATAATCCAAACTCTTCACACACATCTGCATGATCCACTAAAACCTCCATCCAAGTGGGCAGCAGTCGCTGAATTCCCGTTTCAGAGCTGACCCCACAATGGCCTCAAAGCTTAAAAGCTCAGCGGGGGTGTTGTAAGAGCTGGACCAAAATTGTTCCAGACCACAGAGTGTCACATCCACACACACCCAGGTGGGTTTGATCTGGAACAAGCCACCCAAAAAGAGGACTAGAATGAGTTTACAAGCTGCAAGTGAAGCGTGGCAGCAGCAAGAGCCTCCACAAACAGCCCCACTCCAAACAGAGCAGTGTTCATTGGCAGCACAGAACATTTCCTCTGCCTTGCTCAAGGAAAGCCAGGCATGGTTAGAAAAACCCTCCTCTAAAGGCACATCCGTCCTTTAAAAAATCCTCTCCTAAAAGCACATTCTTCCTATAAAAATCCTTTCCTAAAACCATGTTCCTCCTTTAAAAAATCCTCTCCTAAAAGCACATTCTTCCTATAAAAATCCTTTCCTAAAACCATGTTCCTCCTTTAAAAATCCTCTCCTAAAAGCACATTCGTGTTTTTTCCCCAGTGCTTGGGCAAGAACTTTATGGCACCCCCAGAAGTTCCAAGCTCACCGTGTCCCCCACAGTGCCTGCCAAGCTGTGGCACGGAGCTGGCACCTCCAGAATCACCAGTTCAGGCTGTGACAGCTGGGAGGAATTTGGGAACTGATACATGAATGGCTGGAGGAAGATCCTGCAGAAAGAGCAGAGGCTCCATCTTTGCTACCATCTGGAAAAGGGCATGTTCCCAGTGTGAGCCCCAGCAGATACGGATGTGTTCACCTCCCGGGAAGTGGAAATTTCCAACAGAATTTCAGGGAAGAGCTCATTTGCAGGATGCACCACATGCTGAACAGAAAGGAGACACAACTTTCCTGGCAGGAAACACATCCTGCATCTTTCCAGCCTTTCAGAAGCCTTTTTTCAGACGTTTTCCTTGCTACTGTCATTCACCAAAACACCCCAAAAACGGAGCAATATTTGTGTCTGTTCCCTTCCCATTTGCTATGGGAGCCTTAAACAAAAATTATCCCATTTCATCTCCAGTTTTAATGACAAATTCTGGTTTTACTCACAGCCACACCATTATTTCAATTCTCTCCCCACAGGATGCTGCTGTTTGCCTTGCAGAGCCCCAGAGCAGCTCTGCACAGCTCGTGGCTGGCAGTGCAGAGGGAGCTGCGAGTCCTCACCTAAGGTGGCAGCTGCCGCCAGCCCGGCCGCGTAGGGATCCGTCCCCGGAGGCGCCGCGCTGATGATGTAGGGGTTGGGAACGAAGGCAGCGGGAGCTAAACCTGCTGAAAACATTCCTGTCAGTGAAAACAAACTCAACAGGACTGCAGCACCACCACAACCCCCCTGCTGCTGCCTGGGCAACACCAAACTCGGGCTGGTTTCGTGGTTTTAAGCTTTTTACGGGTGGTTTTCTACAAGGAGTGACAACCTATAGCGCTGATGGGCAGAGGAGAGATCTGGCATTAAAAAACCCCAATTCCAAGGATTCAATGCTCCTTAAGAGGTAAAATCCTTTGTATCCAATAGCTCAGGTGCTTCTGCAGGGCAGACAGACCCTGTTCAGAAGACTGGAGCTTGTTACTACTCTGTATTTCCTACAGTGAGTAAATCAGGACTCAAACCACCCCGTCCTGAGCTCCATGCCCACCACAGGATCCCAGCACTCCAACTGGTCAGTGTGGAAAGGGCTCAGAGTGGAAAAACATTCTGTGCCTCTGCAAGGGGACAGTTTAATCATTAGAGAAAGGCCAGGTGGGCGGGAGAGAGGCGTGCAGGGGAGGTGAAGGTGAAGGGGAGGAAGTTAAAAAGCTGGATAATTTCAATCCCTGAACTCCACTGAGCACACAAGGGCACAGCACAGAGCTGGGAGAGCCCCAACACATTTATACTGGGGTTTCGGGCAAGAAGAAACCCAAATTCCTACCACAAATTGCTTATTGTGCTACAAACATTAATACATTGTTTTCCTGGGTTTCTACACATTATTAAGTGCTTTATTCCCAGTTAATAAAAACATATATTTTGTATATTTTTAATGAATAATTTTTAGTGATAAGAATAATGTGTTTGCATAAATTACATTTTTAACTCATAAGACCCCTGGCTGCTCATTCAGCCGATATTAAATTGTGCATTTCCCCTCACTTCACTGTGCTGTCACCCTGATTTATGCTTCACTCAGAGGCTTCCAAAGCCTCTGCTGACTGATCAGCACCCTCAGGAGGGTGAGAGTGTCAGCCCTGCCACACAGGGAACTCCTTTAAAAGGCTTCTCAAGTGTGCAAGAGACACCCACAAGCAAAACTGTAAAAACGCACTTCTGCTCATGTGTTGATCATCAGCTGTAAAATACACTTTAAACCCTCCCAATCCTTTTCCCCCTGGAGTCTCCCCATGGATCAGGAGGAGGGCAGTGGAATAGGCAGGAGGAGAGGCAGACTCACCTATGTGTGGCTGGTGGGCAGCAGCCAGGGCGTACTGCTGCTGCTGGGCTGCTGTCAGCTGCTGCACCGCCAGTGCATTGGGCCTCTGGAACAGCTGTGGGGAGAGCACAGACAGCCCTGAAAGTGGGCACCAACAGCCCTGAAAGTGGGCAACAACAGCCCTGAAAGTGGGCACCAACAGCCCTGAAAGTGGGCAACAACAGCCCTGAAACCGGGCACCAACAGCCCTGAAACCGGGCACAAACAGCCCTGAAACCGGGCACCAACAGCCCTTAACCCAGGCAGGGAGTACAAACAGGATCCTTAAATCAGGCACAGAACACAAACCATGTCCTTAAACTGGGCACAAATGCACAAACACCCCTTAAATCAGGCACAAACATCCTTTAAATCAGGCACAAACACCCCTTAAATCAGGCACAAACATCCTTTAAATCAGGCACAAACACCCCTTAAATCAGGCACAAACACACCAACACTCCTTAACTCAGTCACAGAAACACAAACACTGTCCTGAAATCAGACACAAAACGCAAACAGCTTCCTGGAATCTGTCATAAACACACCAACACTGCTGACCTGGGGCACAAACACACCAACACTGCTGACCTGGGGCACAAACACACCAACACTGCTGAACTGGGGCACAAACACACCAACACTGCTGAACTGGGGCACAAACACACCAACACTGCTGAACTGGGGCACAAACACACCAACACTGCTGAACTCACACACAAACACACCAACACTGCTGAACTGGGGCACAAACACACCAACACTGCTGAACTGGGGCATACAAAAAGCAACAACTCCTTCCTTTTTCAGCAATCCCTTCACACACATTTCCTTTAACCCTACAGATACTCCACACCTCAAAAGGACCTGAACTCCTCTGGAATCAATGCCTGTGTTAACCCACCTGAAAAAAACCCCACATTCCTGCAGCACAGGCAGCCCCAGCCCAGCTTCTCCCTCTGCTGTTCCCTCAACTCCAAAGGATTTCTCCCAGCTCCTGCTCACACCCAGCTGCAGCCTGGGGGTCCCCAAGAACACTCCCAGATGCTGGGAGTGCCTCCAGTGCCACCAGTGTGCCCTCCCAGTTTGGCTGAAGTGGGAAATGGGATGCAAAGGGGACAGCAAAGGGATGCAGAGCCAAGTTTGGGACGCTCAAGATGCCTTCAGAGCCAGCAGAGGGAACACAGCCCCAGGATTGCAAACCCCAGATCAAACACTTCCTTGACCTGCAGCCCCCCTGCTCGCTTCTCCAGGTTACTGAGAATTTATTCCTCACTAACAAAAAAGAATAGGATTCCCTTTAAGTATTTTTCCTGAGGGTTGGGGTTTTTTTTCCTTTCTTCAGGGCCTTACTATAAGTTTCTTTCCCAGCTTCTTTTGCCTCTCCCTAAAGGAAATCCCTGAATTCACCCATCTTCGGCTCTAATTAAAACATTTAAGGACACGCCAGCTGAATATCTCCTCTGAAATTATCCAGCATGTGCATCCCCCCTCACTTCCAGGGATCACTTCTGAGGTGGGAATGACTTCACAAAGCACTGTGAGAAATGTTTTCTCCCTCCACTCCCTCAGAACAGTCTTGGATGCCCAAATGCCTATGATTTTCACACCTATTATCCTTCCCTCCTTTCAGACAAGTGAACTTCTGGCAGACACAGCAATAATTCTGCCCAAATTTTTGGCAGAAACCCACAACCATCAAGAAGAAGCCCAGAAACATCAAGAAAACTCTATTACTTATTTTATTTAGAGACAAAAATTGGCACTGGTTCTCCTGAGAGCAGGGTGAACAAAGCTGTGTGAGAATATCCACCTTTATTTTTGTCTTTCTACAAGTTCAGGTGGAGAAAACACATCTGAGAGATCAGCATTGGGTTTATGAGGTGGAAAGGCAGCATTTAGGGCAGCCAGAATTAACCCTGCTGTGTGCCAAACCCTCACCCTCACAATGGCTTTGTTTGCTCATCCCTCAGGGGCTATCAGAATGTTCCTTGTGGAGGAAAATATCTGACCTACAATTCCTTTATTGCCTCCTGGGCCATAAAACACCCTGAGCGGTCTGGGTGCACAACACACCTGCTTTTCCTGCCCTTTTTGTTGTTTTAAGGTGCTATTTGTGGTCACACAAAGCTGGGTGGCAGCTCTGCTCACGTGCCACCTCTGCTCAGGTGCCACCCAACACCAGGAGCTTGGGCAAAGCTCCACAGACATCTTGGAACACAAACCCTGAGAGGATCCACTGAGGGAGCGGGGGGTGCTCCCCGGGAGAAAAGGAGACTCAGGGGTGCCCTCATCACTCTGCACAGCTCCTGAAAGGTGCCTGTGCTCAGCTGGGGCTGGGCTCTTTCTCCAGGAACTGACAGAACCAGAGCACACAGCCTCGAGCTGCCCCAAGGGAAATACAGGTTGGATATTAGGAAAAAGTTTTTCACAGAAAGAGTGATAAAGTTCTGGAATGTTCTGCCCAGGGAGGGGGTGCAGTCACCATCCCTGGGTGTGTTTAACAAAGCCTGGATGTGGCACTGGGTGCCAGGGTTGAGTTGAGGTGTTGGGGCTGGGTTGGATTCCATGAGCTTGAAGGTCTCTTCCATCCCAGTGATTCTGGGAATTCTGTGAACATCCTGAGTGTATATGATCTCTCACCAAGGAGATCATGGACAACAGGAGCAGCTGAACATGGAATGAGGGACAGTGGCTCTGTGGGAGTGACCAGCAGCATCTTACTGATCAGCAAATCTAGGGAAAAAATCCTGTAAATCCCCTAAACTGCTTCCTCCTAAAGTAGGGATTGCTCTGCAACATCCTCAGGTTTGGGATCTGCTGTATTAGCTCAGCAATCTGAGCTTTTTAGCTTTCTTCAGCAGCAAAATTTCACCAAACCCTTGAATTCTCACATGCTTTTCCAGCCTGTTGATGTGGATTCCATCACAGTGAAGCAGAGAGGAAATGGCTGCATTATTATTTCCTTCTCTTGAGGGCATAAAAAGCATTTATCTCCCTAAAAACACTTGTGCTCACTTTACACATGTGAGGACTTCCACACATCCCAAATGTAACTCAAGGAACCACCTGGGAATAAGAAAAACTGGGAGAAAGGAATCCACACCCACTTACAGCCTCAGTACTTCACCATCAATATTTCACCTGCTGCTCTTGACTCTTCTGTTGTCTGCCTGCTCTGGGGGCTCATCTAGTCCCTGCAAAATTTGACTTCCAGATATAAAAAGTCTCCAAGAAAGCTGGAGAGGGACTTTGTACAGAACAGGACAAGGGGGAATGGCCTTAAACTAAGAGAGGAGGGATTTAGATGGGATTTTGGGAAGGAATTGTTCCCTGGCAGGGTGGGGAGGGGCTGGGCTGGAATTGCCAGAGCAGCTGTGGCTGCCCCTGGATCCCTCTAAGTGTCTAAGGCCAGGCTGGAGCAGCCTGGGACAGTGGAAGGTGTTCCTGCCATGGCAGGGGTTGGAATTGGTTTCCCACCCCCACCATTCCAGGATTCTGTGACCTCTCCCTCTCTCCACTTTAATTCACGGCCTTGCTCAAACTCCCTCAGAAGAAACTGAGCCCAGCTGCAGACTTCATCCTGCAGCATGTCCAAGGAAGCAGAGCCAAGAAAAAACATCCCAACTGCAGCCTTTCCTGAGCCAGACAAGCCAGGGGAGCCCTGGGAATCATCAGCTCCATGTAAGCCTCACTGCGCTGTCTCCATCTGCTGACAGCACAGCCCCACACTCCAAACCCAGAGATCACTGCTAAAAGGTGGGGTTGGGGAGCAGAAAAAGGACAAGGAACCTCTGCAAAGGAGTATTAGCCTGAATTGACAAAGGTATCAGAAAAGTGCACCTGGGGTGTTTCAGGCTGCTGGAAAATGCATTTGGAGTGCAAAGCTACAAAGCCTTGACACGGACCTGGAGGAGTTCAGGGGGATCACCCAACATTTCAGTGAGGCTGTTCCATGTGCAGACAAATGAAGGATGATTTCCAGCACGTGGAGGAGCTCACTGAGGGAATCCCAAAGAAGCAGAACTCCAGAGTTACGGGAATTCTGGAATATCACATTTCCCTCAGCCAGTTTCTTCTGCAATATCAAGATCTGACGTCTCTAATCAGATCAGACGTGGATAAAACCCTCCCCTTCCTCACACTGCCTTCAGCTGTGCTCGCCTGTAATCCCTTCCAAAGATGGGATGCTTCCCCGTAGCCCTAAAAGGCACTTTCAGGGATGAGATCCCTTGTTCAGGACAGATTTCCTGCTGCCAACAGAATGGCAGAAGTCAGATTCCTTTCACGCAGGCTGAGAGTGGCAGTGGGCAGCAAGGACCCCTGGCTTTGGGGATCAGGAATTAAGGGAACAGGCACAACACCCCTGAATTTACACCAACCTGCCCTGGAAGGGCACATCTGGCTGGGGAGTGACTCCTGATCTTTACTACAGCACCTCAGGCTGACTAAAGGCTCCTGTTTACTTTCACTGCAGGTGGAAGCTGCAGCAAGGGTGAAAACAAAAAATAACAGATCTTGTCTGACAGCCCAGCAGGGCCTGGGTGGGACCGAGGGACAGCAGCTGTGTCCCCACTGCTCCCCCAAAATCAGGGAGAGATCACAGGGGATTTGGGTTTCACAACACAGAAATGGAGCTCAGAGGTGGCTGGAGCTCCAGGAGAGGCTGAGGGAGCTGGGAAGGGGCTCAGCCTGGAGAAAAGGAGGCTCAGGGGGGACCTTGGGGCTCTGCACAGCTCCTGACAGGAGGGGACAGCCGGGGGGTCGGGCTGTGCTCCAGGGAACAGGGACAGGAGGAGAGGGAACGGCCTCAGGCTGGGCCAGGGCAGGCTCAGGGTGGGCACAGCAGGAATTTCCCCATGGAAAGGGGGATCAGGCCTTGGCAGGGGCTGCCCAGGGAGGTTTGGAGTGCCCATCCCTGGGGGGGTCCCAGGAATCCCTGGATGTGGCACTCAGAGCTCTGGGCTGGGGACAAGGTGGGGATGGGGCACAGCTTGGACTTGATGTTCTGGGAGGGCTTTTCCAGCCTCAGTGATTCCATGATTCCCAGACAGCTGGTGACACAGGGGTGACATCAGCTCCACATGGACAGTGCCCATCCACTTGGTATGAAACAAAAAATGCAAACCCAGCCAGAAATCCTCATTGCATCACCCCTGAAACAGGGACCCTTCCCTGTTCTGCATTCCTTTGGGAGGGTTTATTTCCACCAGTGAGGTGCCAGACATGCCAAATTTGAAATCTTAATTTTTAAAGGCTGAAAGAAACAAATAAGAACTCCTCGAACTTGTAAATGAGCCTTCATTTAAATAGAAAAATGCAAATTCCAGGCTTCCCACTCATGCTGTTCCAGTCCCATCTCTAATGCTTCTCCAGAAGGAGCTCACTTGTGGAGCCCTAATGTTTAAAAAAACACCCAACTTTCCTGGTTTAGAAGTAATTCTGGCATCCCAGGCCTTACACCAGAGCGAGACAAAGACTTGGAACTATCTGGTTTTTTCCCTTTGTGAACTCTACAGCAGCTATTTAGTTTAATCATTAAATTTTCCATCATTAATTTCCCAAAGATGCTGTAGAACAGAGCAGCCAATTGAGCTCCAACACAGATATTTACATTGCTTTTAAGGCTGTGATAACTCAGCACAAACTTGGCAATGCTTTCCCTCACTCCAGAGTGCCAGAGGCTCTTCTGCTAAAAAAATCAGACATTTTAGGGAAGCCAGGGAGAGTTATAAATCCCTACAATCAGCTACAACAAAGGATTCCCTTCCACTTTGAGGGATATCACACTTGCAAAGGGAGAGCAATAAAGCTTCCAATCATTACCCAAACGAGCAGGAACAGGAGCAGAGCAGGAGTCGATTGCTGGAGCCAGGCCCAGCATTCAGGAGGAGCCAAGGGAGTCTGGGCTTGTGTGGGAGAAAGGTCAAACAAACCTAAGCCAGGCTCAGATAAAGGTTTGTAGTAGTGGACTCTGCCCTTAGGGTTTAAACCAGGCTCAGGCAGAAGAAAGTTTGAACTTGTAATTGCCTCAGGCTGCTCTGGCTAAGCAAAGCTGAGTGTAAGGCTCAGTAAAGCACAATGTGGGGCTCAGCAAGGCTCACACCTGGGCTCAGCCCAGCCCAATGTGGGGTTCAGCAAGGCTCACACCTGGGCTCTGCAGGGCTCACACCTGGGCTCAGCCCAGCCCACCATGGGGCTCACCAGGGCCCAATGTGGGGACCAGAAGGGTCCAGTTTGGGGCTTAACCTAACGTGGGGCTCAGCAAAGCCCAGTGCAGGGCTCACACTTGGGCTGAGCAGGTTGGCTCTCAGTCACTTCCTGGGCTCCAGGGTGGGTGTTTAGAGGTTTTTTTAGCACTTTTTCTACTTTAAAGCTCTTTTTCAGTGCCAACTCCTCAAGACAGCCAGGTTCACCAGAGAGGGCATGCTGTGGGAGCTGCTAGGGGAATTCTGATTATTCCAGCTGCCATGGGAGGCAGATCTGCTCTAGTTCCCTGGGAGGACACACACAGCACGAAGATGATGACAACACTTCCAATGTTCCTCCATCCCTTCTCCCAGGACAGGACCTGAAGCTCATCCCTCCCCACACCGACCCCACTGGAGCCACAGGGCTGGATCAGGGATCAGGATCAGGGCTCAGGATCAGGGCTCAGGATCAGGATCAGGGCTCAGGATCAGGATCAGGGCTCAGGGTCAGGCTCAGCTCTGTACCTGCTGCTGGGAGTTGTAGTCAAAGAGCCCCACGGTGGCCGCAGCCGAGTCCACGGGGACCTGAGTGCCGGAATAGTCGAACTGCAGCGGCTCCATGCCCACGTGCTCCATGGGATCCAGGGGCACGCTCTGGGATTCCATGTTGGAGAAGTCCTCCACGGGCTTGGCCCCGTTGGTGCTGGCCAGCTGGGCCAGGCCCTCGGAGCCGTTCTGGTTGGGGCCCAGCAGATCCACCTCGCTCGCCGAGTTCTGGCAGTTCCCGGGCGTGCGGCTGCGGGGAGGGAAACGGGTCAGGAAAAAGGGCAGCAATGCTCCAGCCAGCATGCCACCCTGCAGAACGGCCCAGGGGAGCTGGACCACAGCAGGGAAAAATAAAGACATGTTCACCTCGTTAATTCTATGGAGAATCGCTGTATTAAAAAAATTAAAACCAGGTATGCTCCATCACACCCCCAGACCCTCCAGAACTGCCCAGAGGTGGTGGAGTACAGGAGGGAAAAATAAAGACATGGTCTGAAATAGTTCACCAAATTAATTCTATGGAGAAATTGATGTATTTAAATGAATAAAAACTAAAACCAGGAATGCTCCATCACACCTCCAGAACTGCCCAGAGGTGGTGGAGTACAGTTCACAACTGTTCTGAAATATTAATTCTATGGAGAAACTGATGTCTTTAAAAAAATAAGAACTAAAACAGCAATGCTCCATCACATCCCCAGACCCACCAGAAGTCCTTGGAGGTGTTGTAGAAGAGAGGGGAAGAAATAGATATGGTCTGAAACAGTTAATTCTTGGTGTATTTCAAAAAGTAAAACCAGGAATACTCCATCCTAACATCACACCCCCAAACCCACCAGAACTGCTTGGAGGTGCTGGAGTAAAGAGGGGAAAAAATAAAAAAGATGGTCTGAAATAGTTCACTGAGTGAATTCTGCAGAGAAATCAATGTATTTTAAAAAAATAAACAAAATATAAAACCAGCCCAGCTTCACAGCAGCAGTACACCTCCAGCCCCACCAGAACTCCCCAGAAGTTGTAGAAGTGTTGTAGAAGATAAGAAAAAAAATAAAGAGATGGTTGGAAATAGTTCCCTAAGTTAATTCTACACAGAAGTTGATGTATTTAAAAAAATAAAAGCTGGAATGCTCCAGCCCAGCATCAGACCCACCACAAGCGCCTGCAGGTGGTGTAATAAAGGGGGGGATAATAAAAAACATGGTCTGAAATAGTTCCCTGAGTTAATTCTACAAAGAAATTGATGGATTTCAAAAACTAACCCACAACCCCCAGTCCCCAGTCTCAAACACCTGTTACAGTAAAAATTTTAAAAATTCAGTTTCTGTTTTCTCCTCAGTTGAGAGTCAGTCAGAACAAGCCACAGTCTCCCCAAGTACTTCTATTTAATGGAGTGTTTGGTGATTTTTAACTGTGTGAAGCTCTGGCACCAAATCTCACTTAACACCACTCTAAGGTAGCTGCCATGGGTTCCTGATCACCCAGAGTAAGGACTGGACTTCATGGGAATGCTTCACATCCATGGAAGAGCCAGGAATGTGCATTTCCCAGCACTTTGTTAGGTTTGACTTCTCCAGTTTTCCTACATGAGGAACCACAAGAGATCCAGAAATGAGCAGGGAACAGAAATGTATCAGTGACATCCAGGGCCACAATTTCAGGAGGTTTTCAGCCCTGCAGAGCAGCAAGGAACAAACCCAAACCCCCAGCTGTGGTGTGGACAGGACAGGAGCAGAGCCAACACTTCCCATGGGGGTTTCCATGGAATCCCACACAGAGTGATTAAAAATGGGAGTGAAAATCTCCGGGATCACACCCAGCCCTGAGCTCTCAGGTGTTCCCACCCTGTCCCCCTGCTTCCCTGAGGACATTTAGAACATCCTGGGGACACTTCAGCATGGAAAAACCTTTCCAAAGCCGTCGAGTGCATGGGCAGGTTTGGCACTGGGCTGATTGCACAGGGGTGCCCAGAGCCAGGGGCTCTTCTGCTCCTCACCCCACAGCGAGGGACTGGGGGACACAGGGAGGGTGACACAGCTGGGACAGCTGATCCCAACTGATCCAAGGGGTTTTAAAAAAAAGAGATTTTGTAATTTACTTATTAAATCATCTGGATCAGATAAAGGAAGGGAGTTTGTCACACTGAGGGTAGGGAGGGGCTGCCCCTGGATCCCTGGCAGTGCCCAAAGCCAGGCTGGACGTTGGGCCTTGGAGCAGCCTGGGACAGTGGGAGGTGGCCCTGGATGGGATTTAAGATCCCTTCTAACCCAACCCACTCTGGGATTCTGTGATACCCCAGCCCACACAGCACCCAGAGGTGAGGGAAGAGGGAAGGGGAGGGCGTTTGGAGGGATGACGTTTGGTCTGCAGCAGTCCCTGTCACAGAACCCCAGGCTGGGTCAGGCTGGGAGGAGCCATGGGATCATGGGTGCCACTCCCTGCTCCAGCAGGGCCATCCCAGAGCTCAGGGCACAGCAGAGTGTCCATGTGGCTCTGGAATGTCCCAGGGAGGAGACTCCAGCCCCTCTGTGGGCTCTGCTCAGGGCAGTTCTGCCTCCTGGGCAGGGGCAGCTCCTGGGCTCAGGTGCCATTGCTGGGCCTGGAGCAGAGCCTGGGCCTGCTCTGACCTCTGCACACAGGGACACACAGGGACAGCCAGGGACACACAGGGACACTCATGGATACACAGGGACACTCATGGACACACAGGGCCCCTCTCAGCTGGGGCTCCCCTCCAGGCTGAGCAGCCCAGCTCCCTCAGCCTTTCCTGGGCAGGGAGATGCTCCAGTGACCCCCAGTGGAGCCCAGCTTCCCTGGGCATGGGGTGCCTGACACCCTCCCTGGGATGTGCTGCATGAATTCCTGCCTCAGCTTCACTTCCAGACCCAGTTTTTCCTTTTCCCTTTCAAATGTTCCCACCTTTTCCCCTTCTGATTTCACTCTTCCCCTTCTGATTCTCCCCCCATGGCACTGCAGGGGATGGAGTGAGAGCCTAGAGAGGCTGAGCTTAGACCCCAACACTGATTATTATTAATTGATTAATTACTAAGCACCCATGCACATACCTGAAGTCTTTGACATCGGCGTCGATCCCGTTCTGAACAGGCAAACCATTGGATTTATCCATCACATCCCCCTCCTCCTTCAGATCTCCCAACTTATCTCCATCAAACGTGCCCTTGCTTTTCTTATCCCCTTTGTCATTCTCATCGCTCTCTGCATCCCTTGGCCCCTGGGCAAAAGAGACATTGTTTTAATAAGCTGAGTTTTCAGATCAATTTTCCTGTTACCCCAAGATGGTAACAAATCAAAGACACATGTCACCGTAAAAGAAGTTACTTGCAAACATTAATTCCTACCAAAAAAATAGCTAAAAATGCAAAATATTCAATAATAATCAAAGAAATAAGGGAATTAGCTCTCACTCTTCCAAGAGGTGTTTCATCTCTTCAGGTTTCTTCATGTAGTAACTCAAGGTTTGCTTTTATAGGCTCCAAAAATCCCATCCCGAAATAATTTTAAGGAATTCTCTTTCTACATGGGACTTAAGCACTTCAAAATCAACACCAGCAAATGCTGCAGGGTCATAAAGTGAATTAGTGCCTCTCTGAAGTGCCTGGATCAGTGTCAGACACAGCTCTTGACTGGACAAGTGTTTGAAAATCACCTCAGTTTTGGAGGCATCAACAGTGAATTCCAAGGCACACCTCATTTAAAAGCACTCAAATAAATCACTGCCTCAATCATTAGCCCTGTAATCCTGAAGCACATTTCTTTGGGAGAAAAGGAGGAAAAAAAGAGGGAAAAAAAGGATTTCTGTTCTGTTGTGCATTCCATGAGCAGCATTACATCTGCAGCGTGTCTGCATTTTATTGCACTTGGGAGGAGAATAAAGGGTGATGATGCCTGGGGCAGTGTTTTGAACAACAAAAGGGAGAGGAAAAACAACATAATTTATGATAAAAACCAGCAAGGGGCATATAAACATATTTATCAGAGGCAGCTTTGGGGCTGTCACAGGGACAGACATCCAAAGCCTGCCTTCCACTTGACTGGAGGGAGAAGTGCTCTGCACACAGCACTTCTGCCCCTATCCGCTGGACCCTTTTTTCCCACTCTCTCTGATTGGAGGGAAGGATTTTTCCCTCCTATTTAGAGAAAAAGAAATTGTTCCGAAAGGAAAAATCTTTTGGTGTTGCTTCTAAAAGAAAACAGAACTGTGTTTCCTTAATATTCCTTGGAAATGCCACCTGTAAGTCCAGCTGTGGAGCAATACTCCCCCAGACAAGGGGGTGCTCAGCAGTGACAGCTGTGTCACCACTGTCACTCTGATTGTGCTGAGGAGCAAACCCCTCCCTGACCCTCAGCTGAGATAAATTGGCTCCTTGCCCTGAGTGCTCACATCCCAAAAATCCTCCCTGCTCTCCAGGGCTCCCCCAGGTCCTTGGGCAGCCTCTAATGAGGGCCAGCAACCCCAGCAGGGCCGAGGGAAGCTGCAGAGGACAGCAGCCAAAGGAGGCTTTCCCACATTTCTGGAGCCCTTTTCCCCACTGCAGGGCTGGGCTCTCCCCACATCCATCACCTGGAGGCTGGGCCCCTTCCCCACCCCACAAAAGGGGTGCTGCCATTCCCCACGGGAAACAGCCTGCCCAGCAATCCAGCTGGGAAACACATCCAGCCACAAGCAGGAGCTCCAGGGAAGGGTGGCTGACACCAGTCTATCTGTTAGGGGGGTGGTTATCCCAAAAAATAGCATGAGGAAAACCTCCAAGACAAGGATGAACACTATGCCATGGCAGTTACCACCAGCTAAAGGGTTTGGAGCTGGAATCCCATTTCAGGGATCAGCACCAAGGCAGCCACAGGCTCAGTGCAGGTTTGTGGGACCTTTCCCAAGGATTAGCTTGGATGGTCTGTTTCTGCTGGGGGGCTTTTCCAAGCATCCAGGGAATGCCAACACCTTCCCATCTCCCATCCCACACCCCCAGGCCAAGGACTAAACCTGCCCTGTTTGAGGAAGAGCTGAATTGAGAACAAAGAGAGAAACCTCTGTCCTAGAAATGATTCACAACCAAGCAAATGAAGCAGCAAAGGGAGAAAAGAAAAGAAAGGTGCAATCAGGCACTTACAAATGCTCCTTTCCTTAGGCAGGAGTCTCCAGGAGATGAGCTCAGCACATACTCCACCATGCTCACCCCCAGCCCTCCGCTCTCTGACCGTGGGGACAGCACAGAGTTGACTTCACTGTTCACATGGAAGCCCTGCCCAGGTCTTCTCTGAACCATAATTGGCTGGGAAACAGAGTGATCTGGAACAGAAACATGGGAAACTCTCACAAGCACATCCAACTATTCAAAGGAGGCAAATTAAATCATTCAATATGTACTCCCCAGGGGCCTCTTTGCACTCAGAAGTGCCAACTCTGTGATTCTGCTGATGTCCATTAGTTAAACTAGGATGGCTTTCTCATTTTTTAAATACTGCAACATGTAAACCTGCAAGTGAGAGCTAGGTTTAAAATCTAAACTTATAAAATGTCAGAAATTTAAGACTAATTAAAGGTTGCAATTAAAAAACCAAAGGTTTAGTTTTCTGTTTTAGTACAATTCTTACATTAGCACAGTGAAAACAGGTTTTGGCTTGTCATTTAAAACATGATCCTGCTATTCCACCAGCCCTGTGTCCTTTGTTCCACCAATTGTTGTGCTCATATCAGGATCAGAAATTTTTTTGGCTGCTCTTTCCTCAAGAAAAGGTTTCTGAAGAGTTCATTTACCCTTCCTCATCCCCCTGTCCTCCTGCACCACCCCAGCCCTTTGTCATCCCTGAGGCTTTGAGTCCCAACCAGGACAGACTTGGGGTCTCCAAATCCTGCTGGGCTCTGCAAAAATCCCTGGCTGGGCATGGGAGTGACCCCATAAGGGAGGGGAAAGGGGGGAAAAGGGGGAAAGGGAATTCTCTGCTCCTGGCAACAGGCAGAGAATCAAAACCAGCAGGCAGCAGGTCTGGGAATTGCCAGGGGCTGGTGGGATGTGGAAGGGACATCAATAACCACGGACACTTACACTGGAGCTTCCTCACGAAGCAGGTGAAAGGAATTCCATTCTCTCACTGCTCCTGGCTAAACTTCCTTCCTTTTCCCATCAATGTGGCCACAAAGGGACTTGGGCTGGGGAGATTTTTTGGGGATAAAACTTCCACAAAAGGGGAAAAGCCAGTTTTAACCCAGCATTGCTGCCCAACTCTGCGTCCCCAAGAGAAGAAGGGCAGGACTGCAGCTTTGAGCTGGGCTGTCTTTGAAGGGTCTAAATCCACATCTTTGAGGTAGAGTAAAACCCCAAATCCATGTGGGAGGCCTGCAGTGCATCCTGTGGGCAAGGATGGAGAAAGGATGGAGCCAAGGAAGATCCAGGCCTACCTGGATGGACTGCAGGGACTGTGGGGGGAAAAAGCTTCCAAAAAGAAAGGGAAAAGTTGGTTTTAACCCTGCACTGCTGCCCCAGGAGTGGAAGGATGGGCAGGACTAGAGCTTGTAGCTTTTGGCTGCATGGACTGGGGGGCTTTGGGGAGCACAGCCCTCAGGTGCTGCTCCTTTATTTTGGAGGAGCCAAAGGGAAACTTGCAGACACTCAGGGCTCTGTGAGCTCTGGGATGAAGGGAATCAGCACAGGGAGGGATGAGAGGGGCCTGGGGGAGAAAATCCCAACCTCAGCTGGTCCCAAAGCCTGGCTCAGCCCTAATCCCTCATCTCAGCTCCAGGCTGGACTAAGCCAGGTACAAGGTGCCTCCCGAGGTTGGGACAGGCAGCAGCTGCCCAAAATTCCCCCAGTGCCCAGACTGATCCAGCCAGGCACATTTGGAGAAGCTCTGTCCCCTTTTCATGGCCATTTTTCAATGGAAATAATAAAACAAGGCCTTATGACTAATTTAAAATTGGTATTTTCATCAGAGAAAACCCCACACAACAGTGAGGTAAATGCCATTTCCTGGGAGCTGCAGGTTTTGGGAGCTGCACCAGACACCCAGCTGTGCTTCAGGAGCAGATTCATTACACAAAAACCATGGACAGAACAAATCAAAGGTCAGCATTTCAAACCCAGCACTTGCAGGTTTTTTGGTTTTTTTCCTAAAACCAACCTGAATATTCTCCCCCAAAGCTCAAAATCAGGGAGAGTCTCTGAGCCAAGAATAAAATCTCCGGCAGATAAAATTCAGTAGTAATTCAAAACCTCCTTTTTTTTTCTTTTTAAACTGAATGTTGCTCTCCCCCCAAATCCGCAATCAGGGACAGTCTCTGATGCAAGAACAAAATCCTTGGCAGATTTAACTCAACACTAATTCAAAACATAATTTTTTTTTTTAACTGAATGGTGGGTTCTGGTTGGTTGGTTTACTATTTTAAAATGAAGGGATTTTTTTTTTATTCATCTGGTTCTCCAAGACCTTTGTTCAAACTTTCAGCTGATCCATCCCAAGGCAGAAAACACATCAGAAACTGAAATTTTAAGGGTAATTTAAGATTTTTAAGCAGATAAACATGAATTTACACATATTCACATTACACTATGTTCTGACATCCATGGATATCCTAATTTTATCACAAAGCAAAGGCTTTCTGTTTGTTTTTTATTATATAAGCCAGATGTGGTTTTAAATCTTTTCAAAGCTGTGTCATCCAGCCTGGCCATGGGCTTTGAGTAAATAAATTGCACATTTCTGTATTCAACCCCAACTAAATTAAGGAAATAATTGAGCTACCTGATGTTCCCCAAGCACTGTCTCTCCACTGATCTCCCAGAAATATCCCTTTTGGTCCATCTTTGCTGGAATCATCAGATTCCCAAAACTTTTTACCCGGCAACAGCTGCTGCAATTAAAAAAAAAAAAAAAACAAAAACAAAACAAAACAAAAAAATAACCAAAAAAAGAACAAAACAAAGCAAAGCATGATTAAAGTAAGTATAAAATGCAAACATAAACCCCGTAAGCGTCTCCCTTCTATCAGGTATCAACCATTAAACACATCTGAGAGAATCAAATATTTACATCTCCCAGGTGAAAGCCGAGGCAACAATTCCACCTCCCCACTCCTGATTTTCCTCCCAGCTCCAGGAACCCACACACGTCAGACACTCTCACAGACACTCTCCAGCCTCTCTGCACTCACAAGGAAAATAAAGGAGGGGGAAAACATTGTGAGTTTTCCTGAGCTCACCTGGGAACAAACTCCTGCCTCCCAGTGGGAGCTGCTGCTGGAGGGGCAGGAGATCAGGGATAGAAAAGCTCAGGAGTTCCTGTTTCTCCCTTCTGCTGGGGACTCCGGTGCTGCAGAGGCTCTTTGGGAACACTGATGGGAGGGAGGGCAGCACCTACCACGTGTAGAATGGGACAGAGCCACCCTGAGCTGGGACAGCCCAGGAAAAGCTCCTGGGAATGGGACAGAGCCATCCTGGGGCTGAGACAGCCCAGGAGTCCTGGCTCTGGAGGTGAGAGAGAACAGTTTCTCTGGGAATTCCAGCCCAGCCCCTCCCCACCCTGCCAGGGAACAATTCCCAGTTCCCAAGATCCCAGCCAGCCCTGCCCTCTGGCAGTAGGAGCCATTCCCTGTGTCCTGGCCCTCCAGGCCTTGTAAAAATCCCTCTCCTGAATCCTTCCTCCCATTCTTTGGGGAGTTTTGGGAACAGCTTAACCAGGGATCACCTCCACACTGGGAATTCCAGGCACTGAGCTGGCATGGGGACAATATCCCAGTAAATGCTCTGGATGGGATGGATGGAATTCCCAGCAGCACAGTCACAGCAAATTAACCATGAAATGAGCCTTGCCTCAAGCTGGGATAAAACTGAAGATGAAAAGAATCTGAAATTACCATGGAACAAACAAGAATCATCAGTTCTGGGGATCTCCCCTCTGGATCAGGAGTAGTGATAAATCCTGATTGGTATCTGTTTCAATACCTGGACTGATAGCAAATTAAATATCCTGATAACCACTTCAATATCTCTATTTGATATCAAATTCAATGCCCTGATTGATATCAAATTCAATATCCAGACTGGTATCAACTCCTGCTGATAACTCCAGCAGCAGAAGTGCAAATCTAAGGCTGAACTTGAGGAGTAAATCAGCTACTGGATGCAGAGGAAGCAGCAAGAACTGATTTCACAGCTCTGGGGTACTGGTTTAAAGCACAATCACAAAGTTGTGCTCTCCATTTCCTCCACAACTCAACAAAGAGCTGTTTGTTTACAAAACCAATCAGTCTGCAGTGATTTCAGACAGGATTTCTCCTCATAACCTCAACACGGTGTGGGCTGCTCAAGGATAAAAGCAGGGACTTTGCCCCATGCCCCTTTCTACCATCCCAAAACAACCCCAAATGGAAGGGCAGGAGGCTCCCATGAGCAACAATCATTCCCAAACACAGAGGAACCTGGTCCTCCATCTGCACCGGGAAGGAGGGAAAAGCCAAGCCACTGCTCTCCAGTATTTATAAATATCAACATACTTCAGGTGTCTTGCAAATTTTTTTTATGCTTCTGTCATTCTCATATTTCTTCAAATGCAGCTTTTTTTCCCCTCCTGCTCTTGCCACAGTGCAGAAATAATAACTCTCCTCATGACTGAAATTAATTTTTGCTGCGATTAAACACTTTGCATTTCCCTTGACAACATCCCACAGTGCAGGACACAAAATGTCCTGCAGCCACAGCTCCAATCATGGAATCCCAGAATGGTTTGGGTGGGAATGGACCTTAAATCCCACCCAGTGCCATGGCAGGGACACCTCCCCCTATTCCAGGTGCTCCCAGCCCCAGTATCCAGCCTGGCCTGTCCAGCCAGCCCCTGTCCCAGCCCCGGGATGGCTCTGTCCCATTCTACACGTGGTAGAATGGGCACTGCCAGGGATCCAGGGGCAGCCCCAGCTGCTCTGGCAATTCCAGCCCAGCCCCTTCCCAGGGACCAATTCCCAATTCCCAAGATCTCATCCAGTCTTGCCCTCTGCCAGTGGAAGCCATTCCCTGTGTCCTGTCCCTCCAGGCCTTGCAAAAATCCCACTCCTTTATCCCTGAAAATAAAATCATGGAATTGCTACAGCTGGAAATTACTGTTCTGCTCATTCTTTCCTGCCTCTGCCCTGTCCTGCAAGGCCAAACCCCTCTCATCCTTTACTTCTCCTTGGGAAGAAATTCCTCCCTGGGAGGGTGAGGAGGGGCTGGGCTGGAATTGCCAGAGCAGCTGTGGCTGCCCCTGGATCTCTGGCAGTGCCCAAAGCCAGGCTGGACTGGGACAGTGGGAGGTGTCCCTGGGCTGGAACTGGGTGGGCTTTGAGATCCCTCCACACCCACAGCACTCTGGGATTCTCCCATACCTTCAGCAGCTCCAGCACACCCGGGGCTGTTGCAGCATTTCCTGCTGGAGGGGGATCTGCAGCTAATCCAGCCCTTCTCTCTCTGCCCTGCTCTCCTCTACCACTTTCCTAAGGAAAACAAAACCTTTACCAGCACAATCCTGCACAACTGCACCACAACACCTTCTGAATTTTCCAGTGAATCACATCCAAGGCTCACAAAACGTTTTCATTCTCACTGTCTCCTGCACAAAGAACCCCAGCCCTGTTCCCTCCAGTTTAACCTTTCCTCACCAGAAGCACCAAGTTTCCAACTGGAAGTTCTGCATCATCAGCAGAAACAAACAGAAGAGAGAAGTTTACCTCACAGGGAGATTCCAGAGCTATTTCCAGATATCAGGGAAACCCCAAAGCCAATATTAACAGATGCTAACAGGGGAGGGGGTTTTGTTCTGTCAAGTGCTGCTCCAACCAACACAGAGCATTAGCAAGCAGCAATCATCTGCAATTATGCAACAGGCTGCTAAGACAATGAATTTTTCCTCAGGGAAAGTTGTCAGTTGCAATGGAAGGAAAAAAAGGGTATTTTAAGTGACTCTCATGCAGTTCTGCAGGTTGGAAATTTCAAAAGAACAATCAGTGGTTTAGAACCAGAGTCGTTTATTCATTCCCTGGTTTTTATTAAAATTGACCCTATCCAGTATGAAAATAATCCTGCTAAGCCCTCTTACAAAGGACTTACGAGTTAGGCCAATATTCAATTTGGCAGAGCAGGGAGGAGGGGAGGACTTACCCATCATCAACAAAAGCAATTCTTCCAGCAGCCAGGGCACAGAGATCCCACTGAGATGGGATTATGAATTAGACAAATTAAGAAAACTGATCCCCCTCAGACAAGGCAAATATTAAGATAAAAGCAGCCATCTGTGCAGTGCAGAACTGGGTTTATCTGCAGCAACAGGTAGGAAAGGCAGAGCGGGTATTTATGGGTGTTTACAGGTCCTGCTTTGTACCGAAGATGTTATCAGCCCTCCCCGCTGGGGCAGGGAGGGCAGCACCCAGCAGCAGTGCCAGCCTGCACAGAGAGGGCAGCACCCAGCAGCAGTGCCAGCCTGCACAGGGAGGGCAGCACCCAGCAGCAGTGCCAGCCTGCACAGGGAGGGCAGCACCCAGCAGCAGTGCCAGCCTGCACAGGGAGGGCAGCAGTGCCAGCCTGCACAGAGAGGGCAGCACCCAGCAGCAGTGCCAGCCTGCACTGCCTTGCACATCCCTGGGACATCTCTGCACAGCCCTGGGATAGTCCTGGCACTGCCCCAGGAGAGCCCGTGGCATTCCCTGCCTGCTCTGGGACTCACACCATTCACAGCTCTGGGGAGAGAACAGGAAAGAGCATAGGATTGGGAATGTCTGACCATTCCTTGTGTTCCTGCTCAGGTCTGCTCCCAGCCCTGCCTTGAGCTTTCCTGAAGTGCCAGGGGAGCTGCTGTGGAACCATCACCACCTTGCTCTACTGATCCCATCTCCATCCCGGCCCCACTGATCCCATCTCCAGCCTGGTGCCACTTTTCCCACTCCCATCTTCAACACTGCCAACGCTGGGGAAACTGTGAAACCCAACCCAAACATTATTTTCAACTGCCAGTACTCCCCAGCTGCCAATGAATCATAAATTTATTAGGCCAATAAATCATAAATTTATGGGAACACAACACAGCAGTAGCATGGAAAGCAGAGGCACAGGAGTTTAGTTTGGGGTGGTTTTTTCCTTCATTTTTGATTGGTTTGTGGTTGTTTTCTTTAATCCAGGTACAGAAGTGTCCAGCCCCACTGTCACAACCACTGGGACTGAGTCTCTCTGCAGGGGCTTCTCCAGAACCCACCCAGCTGCACCAATGGGGCATTAACCATGGACATGGGCACACAACCATGAAATATCCTGAGCTGGAATATCCACAGGGATCACTAATCCAGCTCCTGGACCCCACCAACCCCACCCTGGGCATCCCTGGAGCTCTGGCAGCCTCGGGGCCGTGCCCATTCCCTGGGGAGCCTGGGCAGTGCCAGCACCCTCTGGGGGAAGAACCTTGCCCTGATCTCCAGCCTGAGCTGCCCTGGCCCAGCTCCAGCCGTGCCCTGGCTGCTGTCCCCTATCCCTGTCCCTGCCTCTCCAGGTTCTGCCTCTCTGAGGTCCCAGAGTTCTCCTACAATGATCCCCAGGGGCTACAGGAATTTCACTGCTCACTCTCAGTGATCCCAGTACTGCCACCTCAAGGGCAGCAGCCCAGCAATAATTAAACACTTTCAGTGAAATGCATAATAATTTCTTACCAGCATTTCTCTTCCAGGGCAGGCTGCAATTCCCTGCCACCCCCACTACTCCAGGTTTGAAGTTAAGCACCTCCAGTTGCCTCATAGCTCTGTGTCACCATCCTCCTCCCACCCTCAGGATTAAGTTTCACCAGCACCTCACCCAGCTGCTCCTGACTCCAGACAGACTTTGCACAACCTACTCCAAATCCAAGGTCCCAAATGCCTGTGAGGGGTTGGGGACAAACCCAAGTGCACCTCACAGCCCCTCTGTGCTGCCCACTATCCCCAGAGACACTCCACCCATATTCCCTGTTGCAAAGCTACAGATCCAAGGGATTTTAGCATGGAAAAGCAGACATGCAGCTCCCCATCCTAGGCTGGGGGAGAAAGGGAACTTGCAGGGCTTGTGTTAAGCCAAAGATAAGGGTCAGGGCTGTGGGATCAAGGCCTTAAGGGCCATATGTGCTGGGCTGAGCCAGAGCACCAAAATCCTCCACGGACCTGCCAGACAAAGCTCCAAGGTGAGTTCCTTCATCCCAGAGAACAGCCTGGACACGGTGCTGGAACAGAGGGACAACATCCCCTGTCCCAGAGCTGCTTTCAGCATTACTGACCACAGTCACTACCAACAGCACAAAGCCTTCACAGTTTGGAGTAGACAAAAGGGGGCTCCGGGACTCTTTGATTTCCCTATTTGAGAAAATATTGCACTTCCACTTGCTGGAAATTTGGGAATATGAGGCTAAGAGTCTGAGGATGGAAACAGCCCCCAGAGAGTAGAAAGCTGTGGGGTTTTTGAAGTATTCTTAATGTTCCCAGATAAGGATATCTCTTGATCTCCAAGCATTATCTACAATTTGAGAGCAGGCTAGATAAGAGATTTAACTGTTTGACAGTGCCCTTTAAAAAACTGCTCTGATGTCTTCACAAACTCCTTCCATCACTGAAATTACAACGGTGCTTAACAAGGAGCAAGGAAACTAGAAGACAAAAGAAATCTAACACTAAAGGCAGAAACACTCTTCCTCACCTTTATCCACTATCAGTTTATTTCACTATCATTTGTTTCAGACTCTCTGACTTTCTCCCCAAGTTTCCTTCTCATTCCAGGAGCAGAAGGGGTAGAAACCACCAGTGCCTTGTTAAGGCATCTAAACTGCACAAAACCCACGTGAGGAACATGGTCCTGAAAGCCAAAACAGATCCTGTGGGATCTCCTGAAATCACCCTTGGAGAGATACAGAGAAAATTCAATGGATAAAGAATGGAAACTGTGAGACTGAGGGAGAAAAACCCCAAGAGAAAGGAGAAATAGTGGTTTAGCTGAAAGAAAAGGGAGAGATGTCACCTTTCCCAGAAAAACCTGCTCATTCCAGCATGTGGAACAGCCCAGTGACAAAAGGATGCCACTGCCAAAATTTTCTGCATCACAGTTACAAGAAGGGGAAAAAAAATGAGTCATCACTGGGAGGCAAAGCTCCAAAACACAAATCCGAACTTGCTCCTCTCAGAAATGCCTAAATAAACCAAAAGCTGGGAGAAGTCAGCATTTTTAGGAATTCCTTCAGGCGTTCCAGCTCTGTGACCTTGTGTCCTGACAAGCAAAGCGAGTGCTGTGCTCGCTGTGAACCTGCTCTCAGCCAGCCCGGGCTCTCCCTGGGAATGAACCTCCTGCCCAAATGAGGTGTCACAAACTCTTCTCCTCAGAACATTCCCACCCCCAGCATTCCAAAGGCAAGCTGCACATGGAGCACAGCAGCTGCTGTGCAGCAGCTTCAGGCAGGTTTTTAATGTCAGGTTTGCTCCTTTGAAATCGTTTTCACCTCCTCTTAGTCAATAGTCTTGGGGTAAATTAATCCAACCTGGAGAAATGGATTTTCCTCTCAAGCCAAATCAAAATCCAAACTGTATTATAGGAAGGCAGTGATGGAAAGCAGGGATGGAGGAAGAAACAGGGGAAGGAAGGAAGTCTTTGATCTGAGAGAGGGCACCTCCCTATGAATCCCACCACATCACAGTTCTGGTTTGCTCCTTTCTCCAAAACAGCAACCTCAGGGTTCCACGGGTTTTTGTTTCTTACACCTGGCTCATGCACTGGGTAACAGACAGGACAGATTAAACGTGGAGGAAATAAACTGGTCTGAGCTTGAGAGGAGCATCACACTTGCATCAAGCTGAGCTGTCACACATGAACATCCTCCTACCAGACATGATTTTCTCCTCTGTCCTTCCACAAGGGACTCACTAAAGGCAGAAGGAAACAGGCAAGGCAAAGAAGTCTTTCCATCCAGCTTCCAGGAACCTACAGGAACAAGCTACTCTTTCAGGTCACTCTAAAAACAGATAAAATCTCTCTTTTCCAAGAAAACCAGTGGCCATTTCCCCCCTAAATCTGCCATCTCCTTGCTGCTGTGAGAGATTAAATGAACTCTAGCTGGGGTTCTGTGAAGTTCAGCTGCAGGCCCTGCTCTTATCCCTCCTGCAGCCCTGGCTCACCCTGCCCAGTTACTCCAAACCTTAAACACAGCCCTGGCCTTTCTGCAAGAGCCAAAAAAAGGTGGCCAGGACTGAAAACAGAGCAGCAGACAATGCCCCACAGCCCAACGAGGTCTGAGCTCAGTGAATCCCAAAATAAACTTGCTCCAAGGGTTGGGACACCTGTCCCCAGACGGATTTCAAGCTGTTGTTGTGCAGCCACTCTCTCCTGCTGGATGAGCCAACAGGTGGAAGTTTAACTGTTCCTCCCTCTGAGATGGATTCCAGCCTGGCAGGTTTGGGGCCCGGCAGGTTTGGAGTTGGATCAACCACACACACACAACACACACACACACATACAGACACACACATCTTGCAGGCAGAACGAAGAACCCTCAGCATCACAATTGTCCCAGCAGCCTCAAAAAGCTGCTATTTCATTCCTCCCCCCTCCCAAAACACAATTTTTTTTCCAGGCCTCTCACTTACCTCTCCCATAGCCCGTCCCTCCAGAGCCAGCGCTTGGAAATCGTGATTCAGTTCATCCATGGAACGCACCTATTCACAGATGGGGGAGAAAAGGCCATCAGGAAATGCTTTTCTTTGCTGCTATTTTTATTATAATCACAGTTTATAGCCATTCTTCTGCTCCAGACTGAGAGCCTGTAACAAGGTTATGGAGCTCCAGAGTATGACTTGCCTTTAACACTCCCAGCAGTTACAACATTGATATACTTTTGTTATTATACACACACATGTATTATTACACACTGATTTATTTCTGTGTGTTAGATTTATACATGCACAGGAAAGGAACAACCAGCAATTACTTTTAAGACACACAAAGCCTTAACACAACTGTCTCTGCTCATATTTCACAGCGGTTTCAGGTGAGGAAGTCAAGGCATGAGAAGCCAGCATCATTTCAGGTGGGAATCAAGGAAAATCTCCTGTATAAACCCAGCAAATTTACATCTAGGTTACACTGACACGAAGCAGAAAAAAACAACACTTTCATTTGATGAAAACTGAGTCATTTAGAGCGGAAAAATAAAGCATAAACTTGAAACTGCTGTATAAATAAAATGACAAAAGCATAGAACGGATCCACAAGGATGATCCAAGTCCAGCTCCTGGCCCTGCCCAGGCCCCCAGCAATCCCACCCTGGGCAGCCTGAGCTGGAATACCCACAGGATCATTGCTCCAGCTCCTGGACCCCAACAATCCCACCCTGGGCAGCCTGAGCTGGAATATCCACAGGGATGACTAATCCAGCTCCTGGACCCCAACAATCCCACCCTGGGCATCCCTGGAGCTCTGGCAGCCTCGGGGCCGTGCCCATTCCCTGGGGAGCCTGGGCAGTGCCAGCACCCTCTGGGGGAAGAACCTTGCCCTGATCTCCAGCCTGAGCCTGGCCTGGTCCAGCTCCAACCCTTCCCTGGCTGCTGTCCCTGTCCCAGAACAGGAATCAGCACCTGACATGGACTGGGTATGTTGAAACTGCAGGAAAACCCTTCTCCTGCTTCTCATTCCCAAATCTCAGCTGCAGAGCACACAGGAGGAAGCAAATTCAAAAAGAAACCCCAACTCTGGACTCGAGGCCAAAGCCCAGCAGCTGAGCCACGTGCTGGGACTGGAGCAGGTGACTGCTCTCCCCTGCCCCACTCCAGTGTCCCAGCAGCCACAAACTCCCCTCCTACTCAGTGTTTACACACTCCCTGCAGCCCAGCAGGGCTGAGGCACCTCTGTGCTCAGCAGGGAGGAGTTGATAAAGCACTTTTAAATGAGCAATGCCCACACTGATCCAGGCTGCTTGCAGCAGCTGCAGGTTTACAGCAGGGTTTAGTCCTGCCTCTGCACACAGCCCTGCCAGGCCGAGGAAGGAGCTCAGCAATATCTGGTGGGTGAGTTACATGACCAAAAAAATCCCAAAAACTGTTAGATGCTCATGGCCCACCAGTGACCAGCACTGTAATGTTACACTGCCATCACTGACCTTAACCATGACTTCTGATACTGCAGCACCACTTCCAGCAGAACCAAGACCTTGGGATTATGTTTTATTTCTGTTCTAAGATAATATTCTATAGATCTCATCTAAGACAATATTCTATAGATCTCATCTAAGAATCAGACAGAAGAAAGAACCACATTAACCTCCAGAAATCCCTTCCAGTCTGAATTCTTCTATTCCGTGGCTGTCATACTTTGCAAAAGATTAGTGGTATATTAGTTAATTATTTAATAGGTATTTACATAATTTGCAAATTCTCAGGGGTCACTTATTCAGAATCCCAGTTTAAAAATCAGGTTAAAAATTTCCTGTTACTGTATCTCAGTTATTTTCAGTTCTGCCTCAGCCTTGCCACCTTTTGCAGTGACATTTGTCACATGGGCCACCGACACCAAGTGAAACCCTTCCCAAAACTGCAGCCCCAAGGACTTTCCTCCCCTGCCAGCTCCATCCCTGCTCTGCAGCTGACACAGCTCAGCTGCCTGGTGCCACACGAACGTCACTGGGACCAAATTCTTCCATGGAGCCCTTCAAGCTGAACTCATGGAAAGTGCTGCAACATCCAGATGTGCCAAACCACAAAAGCTGGCAGAGAGCAAATGATTATTTCCATCAGACATCTCAGGAATGGAGAAGTAGCAGAGAGAGATTCAGGAGGTGATGTGAACTCACAGCTGCTGAAGTGATGTCCCAGCAAACCACAGAAGCCACTGCAAAGGCTGCTCAGAGTGTGTCCAGCAGCTTCCCCAAAACAAACCATCTCCCAGGGGTGGGTGCTGAGCTGTAGGAACCTCAAAATAAAGCTGCTACAAAGATCCAATCACTACATTTCCAGAAAAGCCAAAAGGATATTAAGTGTTATTTTTACTTGATTTGGTCGACATGGAATCAAGGAATGGTTTGGGTAGGAAGGGACATTAAAGCTTCTCCAGTGCCACCCCTGCCATGGCAGGGACACTTCCCACTGTCCCAGATTGCTCCAAGCCCTGCCCAACGTAGCTTTGGACACTGCCAGGGGCAGCCACAGCTGCTCTGGGAATTCTATCCCAGCCCCTCTCCATCCTCCCAGGGAATAATTTCTCCCACATATCCAATTTAAACCTATTCTCTGTCAGTTTGAAGCCATCTTCCTCTGTCACCCCAGGCTTGTGTCAATAGTCCCTTCTCCATTTCTCCTTGCAGGCACTGGAAGGCCACAATGAGATCACCCCGAGCCTTCTCTTTTCCAGGCTGAACAATCCCAATTCTCTCAGCAGAGGTGCTCCAGCCCTGCAGATGACTCGTGGCTCCTGGAGTCACTCCAGCAGGACAATGGCACAGGAGAAACAGGCTGTCCCCATCCCCTTCCCCAGTATCCCTTACCCCAGCCATGATGAAAAGCAGAAAATAAAAACTGCCTTCTCTATCAACTACCAGATGTGAGGAAATGAAGAAATTATTCATTCAGAGATATTTCACATCCCTTATCATCGCTCTTTCAAGAATCCTAACGAATATGGATAAAAGCATTTTCTAAATTGGGTCTTTGTGCCTGATTTTGGCCACTCTGAGCTCAAAGTGTCCATAAACAGCAATTCTCCAGCTCTTTCCCTCAGCCACACACACAGTTTCCTTACCCTCATTGATCACTGGATCTATTTATTTGATTTTCCAAGACTGCACCCAAAAGACCCTTTTCCCATTTCTCAGCAGCTATAATGTTAAACAGCAACACATTTTCACCTCATTGCACACAAATATCACAGGGCTCCTTCATTTTCCTTCCACAAAGAACAGTGTCTGAAACAACAGAACACAAAGCCAAAGCCATGATTTCCAACACCTCTGCATTCCAGAAGTCAGGGAATGCCCTTTAAACAACAGAGCTGATCTTCCACCTCATCAGGATCTCTTCTTGTTACTGATCCCAGAGCTCTGAGGAGCACAGAGCAGAGCCAGGGTGGTGTAAACACAAAAAACAAGGAGGTCCAGAGACAGAACTTCTCCCCAGATGAGCACTGACGCCGATTGGATTTGATTACCAGAAAATGTGGCTCACCACTGAAGCAGAGATTTGAAAGAAATCCACAAGACAACGCCAGGATCAATCGGCTGCATGAGGGAGTGATGCCCTGACACCTGGAGCTGATGTGACATCCCGGGAGGGAGAGGTGACCTCCACAAACTTCAGGAATCAGGAATCACGCAAGGAGAGGGCAGCTGGAGTCCCAATCCCTTGCGATCCAAACCTGACTCCCACTGCTCTCAGCCAGCAGCACCCCAGGCTGCCCCTGCTCCAGCCTGCTCCAGGCAGGCTGTGCCCTCTGGGAAGGGATGCAGAGTGCACATCCTCACAGGAGCCAGCTGCTGCCTTCCCGAGGACGAGAGAACTCCCCCCTCCTGCTCACACACACCACGGAACCCCACTGCACAAAATGAAGGTTCTGGACACGAGCACCACGCTCCAGAACGAGTTCATTGCACAAGAATATTCCTCTCCTCGTCACTGAACGTGCGGATGCACTCAGGAATTATGTAAATCTCGTTCAAGAAGAACGATTTCCACACACTAATACAGGAATGTGTGTCACTGTAACACACTCCAGCTCCGGCCACTCCACTGACTCAGATACCATCCCCTGCCTGCCCGGTGGGAGCACACATCCCAAAGTGGGATTTGCCACCAGCCATGCTGAGAAACTGGAGCAAAACCACAGGATCACTGCACCTCCCGAGGCTGGGGGGAATTCAGCCCCTGCACCAGTTCCCACCTCTCTTGCTGAAAAACACAGGGCAAAGCAAGACACAGCTGCATTCCTAGTGCACACCCCTGAGACACAGCTGCATTCCCAGTGCACATCCAAGAGACACAGCTGGATTCCCACTGCACACCCCTGAGACACAGCTGGATTCCCAATGCACATCCACCAGACACAGCTGGATTCCTCATTAACATCCCTGAGGCACAGCTGGATTCCTCACTGCAAATTCCTCTCTGACACATCTCCAAACCTCATTCATTCTCCCAGATCACTGAGGCTGGAAAAGATCTCTGAGACCACTGAGTCTAAGCTGTGCCCCATCCCCACCTTGTCCCCAGCCCAGAGCTCTGAGTGCCACATCCAGGGACTCCTGGGACACCTCCAGGGATGGGCACTCCAAACACCCCTGGGCAGCTCCTGCCGAGGCCTGATCCCCCTTTCCATGGGGAAATTCCTGCTGTGCCCACCCTGAGCCTGCCCTGGCCCAGCCTGAGGCCATTCCCTCTCCTCCTGTCCCTGTTCCCTGGAGCACAGCCCGACCCCCCCCGGCTGTCCCCTCCTGTCAGGAGCTGTGCAGAGCCACAAGGTCCCCCCTGAGCCTCCTTTTCTCCAGGCTGAGCCCCTTCCCAGCTCCCTCAGCCTCTCCTGGGGCTCCAGTCCCTTCCCAGCTCCGTTCCCTTCCCTGGACACTCTCCAGCCCCTCAGCATTCTCCTGTCACGAGGTGCCCCAGCAGTGGCAGTACAGGGACAGTCACTGCCCTGCTCCCGCTGGTCACACTGCTGCTGACACAGCCCAGGTGGC